TGTCAAGACAGGCCAAAATAAGAATATATAAAACTCTTATTAGACCAGTGCTCACATATGGCTGTGAGAGTTGGACCTTAACTAAAGCAGTTGAGAAATCCCTGCTCAGATTTGAAAGGAGGATTATACGACGCATATTTGGAGGGGTACAGGAAACACCACAGAATTGGAGGAGGAGAACGAATTTGGAAATAAAGACATTGTTTAATGACCTGGATGTGACCCAATTCATCGTACTGGTAAGACTACGCTGGGCGGGACATGTCGCGCGGATGGATATGAATGCACCCCCACAGAGAGCTATGAATGAGCCTGTGTTTGGAAACAGACGAGTGGGAAGACCATGTTTGCGCTGGCAAGACTGTGTGGCTGCTGATGCATGTAGACTACTTGGTGTCAGAAATTGGAAGGCTGCAGCAACTAAACGGGAGAACTGGAGATCCATGCTGGAGCAGGCCAAGTCTCAAATAATTGGGATGTAGTGCCATTTAATAATATAGAATAGAACGATTGCCGATTTCGTTGAGGATGGGCAACACATGAGGTTCCAAAATCGCATCTACATAGCGAATGACCGTCAAAGACCCTCCACGAACAACAACCAATTCTGTGAGGCGCTCCATTGAAATCCCAGCCCACACCATTAAGGAACCACGTTGGAAAGGTTGGCTCTGGGAAAAATTACAGGCTGCATATCTTTCGTTTCTTCTTCTCCACACCCTTTCACGCCCGTCTGGAGATCGAAGAGTGAATCTTGACTCATCTGTAAAAAGTACAGCACTCCATTCGTCCATAGTCCAATGGCTGTGTTCTCGAGCAAAAGCCAGCCGTGTTACTCTGTGAGTTCTGGGCAACTCTGCTCCTCTTACTGGACGAAAAGCCATTAATCCATACTCATTTAATCTTCTCCGAGCGGTACGTTGAGAACTTTGCACACCTCGAACTTTTTCGAGCTGATGAATCGCTTGAACAATGGTAAGGTGCCGGTTTCGTAAAATTCTCTAAGTTAAAAACCGGTCATCCCGTGGTTCTGTTACCCTAGGCCGTCCAGAACCGGGCCTTCTATTGTAAGAATCAGTTTCCCGAAAACGCCTGACGTCGTCTCGTAAAGTTTCATATGGAACTCCGATGGCATTAGCTGCGCAGCATCCTCAGCACTAAGAGGCATTTTAAAACTTAATATTGAAAAAATTAAAAGCCGGAGACTAAGAAATGTGCTGCAAGAAACGGCACTGAACTAATGATACTGAATAAACATTTTGATTCCATAGAAAGTAAACATTGGAATCTAGAATCATTTCATTGAATTAAGGGTTATTGTCCTCTATATTAACATTCCTAAATATTTTTAGATGAAAACATGAAAAAATCAAGTGGGTGGAATTTTTTGCCTGTCAGTGTATTTTATTAATGTCCATAGTAATTTATATTTCAATTTATATATGAATTTCGGATAGTTATGATATTTAACACACGTTTTTTGTGCATAAATATAGCTTAGCTTTCCTTTATTTGTTTCACATTTTCAATTATTAAACACTTTATTCAGAAATATTACAATTTGTCACAGTTTAAGGACACTTATAATAGAGTTCAGAGATTCCATTCATTGTTTCACATTTAATACTTACTTTTGTCTTAGTTAAATATATTACAGGAAAATATTACAATCTGACTTCAGAAGACAACTATAGTTAACTCTAATCTTAATTTATTTTATGTTTTACTCTTCAGTTCACTTCCTGTCTTCCCAAATCAAATACTTTTCAACAATTATATTTCATTTTTATGAATTGAATTCTTTAAGATTCTAGAAAGTTTACAAATCTGTTACTTTACACCTTTTTGTAAGCAGAACTTTTATGATATCCAGAGGTATTGTTCGAATAATATAAAGAAAGCATATGCACTATTTTACATTATAATTCATCATAGATTTAATAATAAAACTATTCATTCTGAAACCTACCAAAATAAAAATTTAAGATGATTAGCAATATAATGGAATACTGTCAGTCATGGAGTGCTATCAAAGAGATCACAAAAAGAAGATTTATTTTGTTTTGAGTATTTGTTTGCATTGTAAAAATTCTTATCATTTCAATTCCTGTTATACAGAGTTTATCTGGAGAGTCTCAAAACATTAATGGAATGAAGATGAGAAGGCTAATCAAATCATGTACGACTGAGCTGTAAATTTGCTGACCTCAGAAATGTAATTATATTTGAGTTCATCATGTGTCTAAATAAAAATAAATAAATGATATATTTTATTTTTAATACATTATTTAAAAAAACGATTACAGGAAACTGCCCTATTGATGAAATTAGAAAGTTTTTCAAGATAAAGATCCTTTAATTTTTTCATTTAATAGCTACAAAGAAAAACTACAACAATGATTTTAAAACAATATAAACTGTTGATATTTCCAAACATGAATAGAAGTTAATAAAATCTAAACTATATTATTTCAGAGAATAGAGGTTACCATATTTTTAAATACCGAGTTCTCATATAGAAATCAGAATACTTTCTCAACCTATCACTATGACATAGAAGGAGATTAAAAAGAAAACAAATAAGTAAATAAGTAAATTTATTCCAAGCATATTTTACCACCACAGCTGATTCAATGAGAGAGGGACACATTTTTGGCCTTTGTATTTAATACAAAATCTCCACTTATTTTATTTTATTATATTTCTTTTGAAATAATGAAGGATAGCATTTGTTTGTTTTGTTATTTAAAAAATTAAAATAAATAAAAATCAGATCCTTGATAAAGAGTCTAGAAGCAATTCAAATCTAGCAAACAACCCTTTCTTCATCTTCTACCCAAGAAGCGCTTGATTCAAAGGCTTACAGTTTGCTGCATTTCATAATTAACTGTGAATTTGAAAGTCTGATTGAGTTTTACAGATTAGAACCTCATTATTCATGTTCCTCAGTTCATAATTTAATAGTTGATGTCATCTGTGATAAGTTGTTTCAGAGAAAATAAATAATATTAAATAAAACTGTTTTTTAAGCTAAGGTAACCAACAAGAATATATGATAGGCTTTATAGAAAAGAATATAATAGAAAAATCAATTTTATTCTAGAACACAGTCCCTTAAGAATATCAATATGGATCATAAAAATTAACATTAAATCTTAAAATATTAAAAAATTAAATATTAAAATAAAAGAATAACTAAAACATAAGTAATAATAGAAATATTTACATAGCTTCTTTCTTTACTATACAGATATATTAAAGAAAGAAGATGACCAATAAGGTCACAATACCGCAAAATAGCTGCTACAAACAATAAAATAAGAAATAACTAAATGATATTGGAAAAGAACGATAAATTACTTTTAAGGAAGGAGATGGTCCGGGGTGGCAGTCATAAATATTGTAAATAGTGGCAAAACTATTTTACTAAAAGCCAACGTTTCTACCCAACTTTGCAGGTCTTCTTCAGGTCTAACAAGAATTCTTCAGGTCTTCTTGTCCATTCTAGCCCTGAAAAAGACCTGCAAAGTCGGATCGAAACGTTGGCTTAAGTTGGGTCGAATAGTTTTGCCACTATTTAATCTATTTATGACCGCAACCCCGGACCATCTCCTTCCTTAATAATACAACGGTCAACTATTAAGTATTCAATAAATTACTTTTGTTGGCAAACCATTGTAGTAATGAAAAAAACATGGATAAATATTTACAATAAATGATTTACATCTGTATCTTAATATGTTCAAATGAGTACTTCTAATGGTGTTGTAAATATTAGAAAAGTCTTTTAATCTGTGTACTACGACATCTATTGATAGGAGAAAACCAAAGAAAATAAAAAAGAAGATAATATAGATATAGAGGAGTGTGTTCAATATTAGTAAAAATTAAATACATCTCAAAGAGTTAAAATCTAATAACTAGAAAAAAACAAACATTTTTGTGTGAAAAACAATTTCAGTTAAAAGTGACTGGAAATCTTTCCCATACTCGTAAAAGAAAAAATATATATATATAAATGATGTCTAAAGAAAAATGAAACCTTGTTACATAATAAATAACTTGGATTGAATTGTAAGGAGGAATTAGAATAAGAGGGTTTTAAATATGGATAAGGATGGTGTATGGTGGATTTTAAGTAGGATGGAATTCCAAAAAGTGGTGGAACAGACAATAAAGGAGTGTTAAAATGAGGCAGATTTATGAAAAGGGGTGTAAAGGTCAGAAGGACGAGATCTTGTAGAGAGGGTCTATGAAAATGCCGAAGTTTTTAACTGAAGAGCTGAAGGTGATGGGATGGTCATTTAGGTACAGGAGAGGAATGTTGGTATTAGATCTGAGAAGTGGTTTGGGACCAATGACAATGGCTTGTGTTTTAGCAGCATTTAACCTTAATCAAATTATGTTTGCCCAGACACAGATCCAATTTAGGTTTTCTTGAATTTTTAATTACTAAAGAGTTTTGACCAGTATTCAGGAACAGATTTATCAGGAAAGACATGATACTCTAAGAATTCAATTTCAATTAAAACTCACTTTAATTGAGTTTAGCCCCAAATTCAATATGTATAGAATAAAAATAAGTCATTAACCACAAAATAAACAACTCAATTTAATTGAGAAATGGAATTTGATACTTTTTCAAAATTTTCATAACTCTACTTTCATTTGTACTTTCACAGAAAAAACTGATGTAATATTAATTTATTAAAAAATAAATACGTACATATTTGAATAACTATACACAATCAGAATCTCTTAATATTAAGTAAAATTACTTAAAAAATGAATACATTTCTGTGCACCATAGTACCTGAAATTCACAAATGAAATATATAGCCCAAATTTATATCATGCAGTATCCTCACAAATATATATATATATATATATATATATATATATATATATATATTTAAACTGAGTAATACATGTACAAAATAATATAAAAAAGAAAATTAGAGATCATACAATTTCTTGGCTTAAGCAATAACAATGAACCTACAATCAAAAAAAATTCTTTAAAAAAGTTAGTTTAAAAAATAATTTATATAGTCAACTAAACTAATTTGAATTCACTACTAATCAATTTATAAAATTATTCATTTTAATCATATATGATTTTATGAGTGAAATAAAAACCCAAATTTATATAATACAATATTATAACATTACAAAAAATATATTATGAGTATAAAATATAAATTAGAGTAAGACCATGAGATTTCTTGACTTAAACCATTGTTTAATTATCCTGGTCAACTGTTTAATTGACCTGCAATCACAAATAATCATTTAAAGAATGAAAGTTAGTTTTAAGTAAATTATATAAAATTACTAAAGCTTAACTCACCAATTAATTAAAGCTTTCAATTTATATCACAGTAATAATAAATACGCTACAACATTCCTTTTCTTAATTGCTTTTCAAATTCTTCAGCACTAAATGTGCCATCAATCCTTTCACAGTTTCTGTTAAAAACTGAATATGCACTTATTTCATCTCTCGGTCTTTTTCCAGTCCTTGTATTAAAATATATAAACAAGAGAGCACAAATGCAAAAATAAACAGCTCCAAATTCAATATGTATAGAATAAAAATAAGTCACCAACCATAATATAAACAACAGAAATGTCTTTAAAGTTACTATATTCAAGGTCTCGGACTTTAGGGAAGAATCAACATCCACTGAATCTTTTTCGAGCTCCTAAAATAATTGCACAATTCAAATAATTTTTAAAATGTTTTTGATTGGCTAAGTCACATTTCTGCCATTCATGATTAAATATACATATTAAAATAATTTTGCAAATGACAAAAAGTTCATTTTCTTTTGGTTAAACAATAGAATTATAATTTAAATTTTTATTTTATATTATTTAAATTATAATTTAAACATCACATATATCCATTGGTCTTATTCCAGCTCTTGTATTAAGATAGATAAACAACAGAGCACAAATGTAAAAATAAACAGCCCCAAATTCAATATGTATAGAATAAAAATAAGTCATTAACCACAAAATAAACTCTAGAAATGTTTTTAAACTTACTATATTCAATGTCTCTGATTTTTGGGAAGAATCCATATCCATTGAATCTTTTTCGAGCTCCTAAAAGCATGTTTATAATAATTCATATCATTCTTAACAATTCTGCTATTGGCTGAGTCACATTTCTACCATTCATGATTTAGATAAATGTAATTAAAACTAATTAATTCAATATGACAAGGAGTAGATTTTCTCCTGATTAAATATTTTAATTACAAATTAAAATTGGCTAAATGTAACTTTTTTTTTCTCCCTATGTAAAGTCATGTTAGACAAAATGGATCTTTGGCAAAAGTAATAAACAATCTACTTTAAGAGTAATTTCAATGACAAGTAAACCATTGATATAAAACACTTTTTTTAAGCACTTCAGACCATGAAGATTTACCAGTGATCTTCTTACATACATGTTCTGCTTGCGAGAACATAGATGGAGGGTGTCAAACTCAAGTAGTTACACATCATGGTTTAACCATAGCTCCCTAATTGATCCCTGTGGGGCTGATTTGGCAATGCCTTCCCAACGATTCACTAAAGTTCAAGAAAAGGAAATAACATTTGATAGAAAACTGACATGTGGCCAATATATATTGATTAAATTGGCCACATGTCAGTTTTCTATCAAATGTTATTTCCTTTCCTTATATATATATATATATATATATATATATATATATATATATATATATATATATATATATATATATATATATATATATATATATATAAAGGCCAAAATTTGAAACTATAACGTAGACTGCTACACCAAGAGAATTTAAATTTAAAACAAGACACACAGACACAATATTAACATCTGCTATTATGTGTTAAACTTTAAATGGATCTAGGTATCCCAAATTTAAGAACAAAAAAAAATAATAACACAGTTTCTAATCAAAATGTTTATGATTGATAACAGACTCACCTCCCTATTTGTCAAACAAAACCCTAAAATTTATGTATCCTGTGTAAATCATTCATCCATTCTAAGGAAAACTGAAAAATTAAAATACGTAGACACAAAATAAATGGATACATGACATGACAACAACTGAAAATTCCAGAGTTTACTTGGGGAAGTCTGAAGAGAAATCAGATGAAGGATCTCATGGTCTAACCACTAAGATTTTAGCAGAGCAGGAGGTTGTATCAGTGGATTCTGGCCAGGGATGTCGTTGTGGGGAGAACAATAATTAGGGAATCCAAAAAGTTGGGAGATTTAAGAGCCTACTCCTAACTGCAAATATTATAAAACATTTTAACTCAAGGGTAATCAAAATCTAAAATCGATACCACCATCTTTGATATAAAGAAATCAGGATTTCATTGATACAATTTAGTGTTTCAAAATAAAATAAAATTATTGTTGTCAAGTATCAACAGTAACAATTCGTGTGCAAAAAGTCAAACCCAACATTTGGAGAATTTGAAAAACCACTTCAAACTTCGAAAATAGGGGTGAAACATTTTAATTCAACAATTATTAAATTTTAAAGACAATGTCAATACCTATTAAGTTAGAAATTGGTATTTCATAGATATAATGTTGCGTTTGAATAGAAAAAAAAATTGTTGTAAAGTGTGAACATATTGAAATTAAAAAGTTATTTCAACTATTACAACTAACTTTTGTTCTGACAAGTGAAATAGTTAAGAATTTTTTTTTTCACCTGTTACAAGTTTTGGGAACTATGGTTTCAACTATTGAAATTGTATATTTTGCTCCTCCCCTTCAATAAATTGTTATGGTTACACCCCTGATTCTGGCTACCTAATACCTTATTCTGTCATTTATCATTCAAACACCCATTTCTTGATTGTTTAGCAAATTAACGGTGCATATAAAATGTTTTAGTTAGGAACAAAAATAATAATTTAAATATCAGGTCATCCCATAATTAATATATATTTTTAAAAATATGTCTGTTTATGTTTATATTACTATTATCTTATTTACAATTGAATTGTGTTTACATATTTTGCTTATTATAGCATTACATACTCTGCCTTCCATTTATTATGATTTTGTTAGAGAAAGTTGGTTATTCTATGCTGAAATTCCAATTAAAATGGATCTTCCCAAAAACCACTCAAGTTATGAGAATTAGATAAAGGAGGAAAAGCGGTTTCAACTTATCGGAAACTACTGTCCACTGTTAGTCCCGCAGTAGTTAGTTTGATAAGTTGAAGTACTATTCATATTTAAGTTTTAATCTATTATCTGTCCTATTCTCATATATGGATCATTCTTATACTATTTGATCATTTCATGTTCCAGGCTTTACTTCCATTTTTCACATGTTTTTTTTTTCAGTTTGAAAAAGAAGTAATGGTATTAATTTTTTGTATTGTATTTATTAAAATAAATCTACCTCAACCACAAGAAGAAATATTTCAACGTGAAAGCAGAAAAATGTAACAAATAGTACTAGGTGACAATGGGGAGTTCTTTATGGTTTGATATGAAACAAACTGTATTGATTAATTTTTAAACAGGTGATATTTCACTGCTATATGATGGCATTTCGAATTATAGATTTTTTTTTGATTATCTAAAATAGTTTGATTGTAAAATAGGAATGTCTCCAAAATTGAGAGAAAAATGTTGTAACAAATGTTACTAGCTTTTCATATAACTTTGTTAATTTAATATGAAAGAAAAAGGTTTTAAAACATCTATTTGTGGTACTAGCTATCAGTCCATATGTAATCTTGAGGCATAAAAGAGCTGGCTGGAGACATTTTTTCTGCCAAAACATGCTATGTAAAAAATTATGCATAATGAATGTTATCATTATTTTACTTAACATCGTTTAATTCATATCTGTCCAACATTTGGTTACATCAGTAACTGCAATTTTGTAGGAAAACATAATGAATGTTACTATTATTCATATAAATTTAATGTCCTTTATTTTAATAGTTCCTACTACCAATTGATAATATCACTTTCTTTATTAACATTTAAAGAACATGAGGATTTTAGTTGTTTTTCTTATAGACATTGATGAAATAAACGAAAATCATCCTTTTATTTTATTTTATTTGTTTAATTTTTCTCATGTTGACTTGAAATATTTATGTGTTTCTTGTATCTCCATTACATCTTTAGAATAAACTAATAAAGGTTGTTTATTTAAACTGTTTTAATTATTTGTTACTTTATTCTATGTAACTAGATTTTATTATTTGAAGTAATTTACATTTTTTTAAATATTTATGTGGTACGTATTTACCGGTAATTTTTAAAGAAAACTGTAGAACTTTTATTAAAAAAATTGCATAATCAAGATATGTTCTCAGTAAATATATTGTACATTTTACGCCTTTTACCATGACAAGTTCCAGTACTTGTGGCTTAGCCGGTCACCAGGGAACCTACCTTCTTATCTCGTGCAACTTTTTCTTATCACTCATCTCTGCCTAATTATTTGAGCGTTATGCATTGTTTTCAATTTTTTTTCGTTCACTTTGTTATTTTCTATTTAAAATGGATATAACAAAATTGCTGTCTTCGAAAGAAGAAGCTGTAAAATACTTTATGAAGTCCAGAATGATTCCAAAGATTAAATTGTGTGAAGAAGGTCATCAAATGGAGTTCGACAAGAAGACCTAATGGAGATATTTTCGTCAAAATTGTAAGAAAAAAATCCTATAAAAAAAGGAACGTAGTTAGAGGGGTCAAGAATTACTTTTTTAACAGCTTTAAAGTTTATTTATGGGTGGTTTCATAATTTAACAACAATAGAATGAAGCAAAGAGCATCTGAGACTATTGAACAGAAGTGTGGTCGAGTGGAACAGATTTTTGAGAGAGGTTTGTACCCATAACATGTTATACAGGTCAACTAAAAAACAGTTAAGGGCCTGGAAAAGTTGTTGAAATAGACGAATATTTTTTCTAAAAGAAAAAAATCATGTAGGGAGAGTGCTCCCTGAACAATGGATGTTTGGCAGACTTTGTCCAGAAACTGACAAGTGTTTCATTATAAAAATAAAATACAGAAAAGCAACAACTCTATTAGAGTATATTAAAAACGTTGTAAAATAAAAGTGTTTGTTATTATTAAATTTCTTTATGTCTATTCCAATTTCCATAAATATGAATAAGAAGTTAGGTATTATCAATATTAGCATTATCAGTGTTCAGGTTATAAACAATGGTGGATAGCAGTCTGTGGCGACCAGCTAACTCACAAGTACCCAAATTCCTAAAAGAATATAAAACATAAAAAGATTAAAACCAATTTACGTAATAAGCAGTAAATTGAATCATTCTAGATTATATTTATCTAATTTAAAAATTTATAACTTTCTGAGTGATTTTCTAAGCTCGAAGATACAACTACGGATCATTTTACTCCATACAGCCTCTTCTTTGTGCAGTGACACTCAGAGCAAAATCCCATTTCAAAATTAAAAACTAATAGTAAGAAAACTGACAATCACAGCTCAAGTTTATTATCTAGGACATCTATAATAATATTTGAGATCAATTTTTCTTCAAAACGTTGATATTCTTTTTAACCAGAATTGCTATATCTGTAAAGGCTAAATGGTCAACATAAGAATGGCCCGCATGCTTCTGAGACATGGACTATAATAGAATACCAGGTAGAAAAAAATTCTATTGCTTAAAAGAATGATTCGGTGACCACTTAAGAAAGAATGTTGAGCTACATAAGTTATTTAGAAAAACTTATATGAGGAAATGGTACAAATTAAACAAATGTTGCTCAACTTTGAAGACTGGGCCAAAATCTCAGGATCATGCTATAACCTACCTTTTAATTTATATAGCAATTTACAATTTCCACAAACTCATAACTGGTTCTTATCAGTTAAAATTGGGGCCTCAATGTGACTTCTGCTCAATCAAAAGGGATAAACAAGGCCCCAGTGGATGATTTTCATAAGAGGTAGGGGCCTTAACAGATGATTTTGTCAAATTTGTCTACTTTTAGAAATATCTATTTTATAGAAACACTATTCTCGGAATTTATAGTGAGAACATGAGATCTAGTATCACTCATTTATATTGAGCAAGACCTATTCAGTAGCACCAAGGAAACTTATAAACTTCGCTGGGCTAAAATGCTGCCTAAATGAGTAATTAAGATTCCCCAAAAAATCTCCTAGAAGAAAATCTTGACTAATCTGGAAATCTTGTCTAGACTCAGATTAGAGTCCTATGTGACCCAGAATGCTACAACTGTATTTATTGTCAAAAACTGGAAAACAGTGGCACAAATAAAACCACCTGGAAAAGGCATAGTGAGGAGACCAGGCCAAAACGGCCTGTACCACCATATAAGTAAGTAACTTATGTTATAATTAAAAAAAAAATGGAAAATATAAGATTTAAAAAAAAAAATAACAGCATTTACTTTCAAAAACATATTTTATGGAGACATATGGATCAAGCCTAGCTATAATTTTTATCTTCTGATTTAAAAAAAAAATAAGATACTACATATATAGTAATTAAATAATCTTTTGTATAATACATTATACAGAATGAAGCTAGGTTTCAGAACTGAATTTAATATTGATTTAATATTAATATTTAATATTAACCCGTGAGCACGGGATAAGGAGCACTATTTGAATAAAATTAAATAGAAATACTCTTCATTTAATACATTAGAACTGAAATCATTATCATTACAATCAAAGCATAATGGAGTAAAATAAATATACTATGTTACCTCTATACTTTCATTATTGGAAAATTTATGTTTCCTCGAAAAAAAATTCACTGCTGTCAATAAAAATGATGAAGTCATATCTTTAACCTTCGTTTTAAACAACTGCCGAGATTTATTTCGACGGAATGATTCCAATTTTTCATCCATTACATCAGTAAATAAGTTACGGAAGATAAACAAAAATTGTTCATAACAAACCAATTTTAGAGAGAACAACCTGTCAAATTTTGACAGCCGACACGAACTCAACTTTAATCGCTCAAGAATGCACAGTCATAATATAGTTTTCCCAAAGGGCTATTTTTTTAAGGAACATCTTTTCCTCTACATATGAATAAATGGTTTGATGCGGGCCCTACACGGTCATTCGGATTTGCATTCTGAGGCTCTATTGACGTTCTGATTGATCGTGTAAGGTACTGATTAAAAGTACTGATGAACTTGTCTGGCGGATTTCATCTGTATTCACTAGCGGATTCAGGAATTAATTTTGTTGGGGGGGCTTCACCCCGAAAGATGTTTTTTCATATACATATAACAATAATTAATTAGAAAAAAAAAGAAAAAAATTAACTATCTGTATGAAATGGTGTTTAAGTGGTTCTTGAAGTCCTATTAAATGTAATTACACGAACAAGAATACTTTGAGAGATAGTTTTTAATATTTTTTTCTGAAAAAAATGGTAATATTTTACCATTTTGAGGGGGAGGGGCTTCAGCTCGAAAGCCCTCCCCCTTAGATCCTCCTGTGTCTGTATTATAAGGAGAAAATTCGGAAATCAAAGGTTCAATCACGGAAAGTGGAGAGGATCCTGAGGTAAAAGTGGTGGGGAGACTAATCTTACTACTAGATAGGTTAGTTTAACTAGGCCTTACAACCATTGTAAATTCCTGATTTTCATTAAAATTAAATAGTTTTTTATATCCCTTGTTTATAAGTGGGCGATAAATTAAAAATAAAAGTGGAAAGTTCAAAATTTACTAATAGACAAAAAAAATCTTTAACTGGTGTGTTTCCACTCTGATCGATCAGCTGATGTAAAAGGTTGTATTTCTACCTCGGCTCTCAGAATTTGCTTGTTTTTCAGCGTAATATCTGAGATTATTCTTTTTTTTTTTTTTTTTTTTTTTTTATTTCTTAATGATATTTACAACTGTATTAAAGAAATACATTTAGTAAATTTGAACATATGGATATAATTACGTGAAAACACTTGTTGAGTAACTTCCTAATGGTAGCACTCTAATGATATGTCTACATTAGGAGATCACGGGGCCATCTTCTTTTCAGACGCCTCGGAGTGTTATCTGGGATTGAAGAGGAAGCAAGGTTAGAAACGAGATGGTTGGGATGATTCTGAAGTTTATTATGAAAGGATAGGTTTCTGGATTGGGCCAGATCTAAAACATTAAGGTCATTATAGATGGTTTTATTTGTAACAAAGTAGTGAGCATTGAGGATTTTACAAAGGATTTTGGACTGTAAGGATTGGATACGAGAGGAATTCGATGGTGTAGTGGAGCACCATAGCTCAACTTCGTAAGTCCAAATAGACCTTATTATAGTCATGTTTATGAGTCTTTTGGCTTTATTATGAACTGCGGGAAACGACTCACATGAAGACATATTTTGTAAATATTTTGAATTATTTGTACAAGAAATTATGTTCTTTAACAAACAAAGGAAATCTTATCTATACATGAGTATTTTCTAATTAATTGGAAGTTTAGAGCGCTTGTCTAGTAAGTGCTGAAGTAATCGGAAACGTCGAGCGGTTTCTTGTCGTTTCAGTCTGGTATGAGAATTATAAATTAGACGTTTGTCCAGGTGGAGTCCTAGGTAACGGATTTGCTCAACAGGGATAAGTGAGTATTGTTAAAGGAAACTGTTGGACAGGAAGTCATTGGTTTACGACGAAGGGTAAAGGTAATTTGGTGGGATTTATTGCAATTTATTTTAATTCTCCAGTTTTGACACCATTCTTCAAGATTTATGATGTGTGATTGAAGCATTTGGGATGCAATCGATGTGTCATTATTTACTGATAGGATACATGTGTAATCGGCATAGGTGGTGATGACAGTGCTGGGATAGGTTGGGATGTCAGCTGTATAAACTGTATAACCTAGGATACTGTATACCTAGGAGGAACACCAGCGGACTGGGAAAAAATGGATGAATAAGCGTTTTTGTGGTTTACTTTAAAGTATCTATCAGTAAGGTAGGAACGAATAATGAGGAACTATGTAGGTAATAGGAATTTTTGGAGTTTGTACTGCAGTCCCAGGTGCCAAACTCTATTAAACGCTTGTTCAATGTCGAGAAAGACTCCCGTACAGTACATTCCGCACTCCAATGCAGAGGAGACTACATCTACCAAACGATGACATTGCTGCATAGTGGAATGGGAAGTACTGAATATAAATTGGTGATCCGGTATTATGTGTTTAGAATTTAGGATGGGGTACCGGTGTTTTAAGATGAGTCTTTCCAGAATTTTGCCCATGATGGGTAAAAGAGAGATAAAACGGTAAGAGGATGAGTATTCTGGTGGGTTTTTGGGGAGATTATTCATTTAAAGCAGGTCAAGGATATATAAGAACAAGTGGTATTTGATGTGTACAGATATAAATTATAATTTTGTTTTCGTTTCTTTTCTTTTATGCCATACCTCCATCATGAGCGTCTATTAAGAGAATTCGAACGTTAGGCTCGACAAGTCGTTCTTTGCCTATCAAACAAAAGCCTCAATCTCATTAAGCACCTCCAATGACCCCTGTTAGCTCCGGAGAAAATGAAATCCAGCCAGGCGCATCATCAAAAGAAACAATTAAAGAACCTCAGCCTCAACTAGGTACATCCTCACAGGAGACAACTAAAGAATCTCAATTTTTTACACCCAATCCCTATCAGATGCTTCAGAATGATAGAAAGGTGATGGATTTCGCTCCAATACCAAAAGACCCACCACCTCCACTGATATTCGTTAAAAACATAAAAAAAAAAAATCCATTACTATGTTCTCATCTAAACAATATAACAGGCTCTGGAAGCTATTCATGTGTAAGTAGAACAAAGGACACTAAAATATCACTAGATACCGCTAAAACCTACAGATAAATCGTGAAATACCTAACAGAAACCAAAGCGGATGTCCATACGTATCAATTACGGCAAGAGCGAGCTTTAAGGGTAGTTATAAGAGACCTACCATACCCCTCAACACCAACTGAAGCAATAGAAGAATTGAAAACTTTAGGTTTCTCTACCGCGCTAGGTAGAGAGTAAAAAACAGCCGGGAATAAAAGTTCCTCTACCCTTATTTTTCGTAGACTTGGAGCAAGTCAAGGGATCGAAAAAGTATACGAAATAAGAAGAATGTACTATACAAGTGTAATTAATAGTAGAGAAGCCATATCATAAGAGGGAAATCGTCTAGTGCCACAATTGTCAGGTATATGGCCACACCAAGACTTACTGCCATCATTTTTGGCGTTGTGTGAAATGTGGAGAGCAGCACAAATCTGGTGAGTGCACAAAACCGAAACGAGATTCTGCAGTATGCGCTTTGTAGGACATCCAGCGAACTACAAAGGCTGCCAGATATACAAAAATATCAAGTCAAGATATCAGTAATCCCGGAACAAAGAAGAAACAGAAAGATCTTCGACAAAATAGATCTTAATATATCCTCAAAACTCCAGACGATCTTGACAATGATGTCAATTCCTTTACTTCCTCAATTCAACAAACCTCCTGGATTGCCTCCTACCCAAGTAACTCCCGAAGAAATCCTAAGTAAAACCATTTACCTCAATACCTCCTAGATCTCATCGATATGAAACGACGTGCCAGATCACTATGGAAATGTACCAAACATCCTGCTGGTCGCCGTTCCTATAATTTCCAAAGCGGGGATTAGCATACTATAGACCCGAATCCTTTAATTCCTACGTATCCTCCCTCTCTATTCATGGAAATTCCCTTTGGAAAACCAATAAGAAAATCCTAAAACCTCACCTGATTTTCCATTCCCTCTGGTGAGATGACGGCTCCTGGACAGCATCTGAAGAAGATAAAGCGGAGGAGTTCGCCAAACATCTCTCCAATACATTTATTCCCCATCCGGAATCCCATCCTTCCCACACCGTACAGTTGAGGAATCCCTTACATCACCTATTCCCACTCTCCCTGCCCCCTAATGCGATTCATTTTTCCGAGGTGAAATTCCAATTACAAAAACTCATCCTCCGTAAATCTCCTGGATATGATCTTCTTACCTCCTATATCCTTCGACAACTTCCATCCAAAGCAGTCATATTCCTTACATATATCTATAATTGCATCCTACGCACCACTGATTTTCCTCTATTATGGAAACATTCTACTATTATCCTATTCCCGAAACCAGCTTGACATTCTACAGACCTATTAGCCTACTCCCAATTCTTTCAAAAATGTTAGAAAAATCCTGATGGAACGAATCCTACCCCTTATAGAATACCAAAATCTTTCTTCCCATCAGTTTGGTTTTCGCTGGCAACATTTTACTGTTCAACAAGGACTCCGGGTTGTTGATCACATTTCCTCAGCCCTAGAAAACAAGGAATACTGTTCGGGTGCATTTCTGGACATAACAATGGCGTTTGACCCAGTATGGCACGCCGAATTGCTCTCGAAGCTTAAAACCCATTTACCTCAGTCCTTGTACCTAATCTTACTACTCTAACCGCTCCTTTCGAGTTCGCTGTGGAACAGAATTTTTCGATATCTATCCCGTTAAAGCCGGTGTTCCCGAAGGCAGCGTCTTGGGTCCCGTGCTTTACATCCTTTTTACCGCTGACATCTCTATTCATTCCGATACCTTCCAACACCATTTGCACCTACCAGCAACATTTGCTGATGACACCGCAATATTATCATTTAACTTTGATCCCGAAATAGCCTCCTCAAATCTGTAAAGACACCTCTCCTTGATTGAGCTCTGGTGTAATAACTGACGTATTAAAGTGAATGAATCCAAATTCTAACATATTACCTTTACACTCCGCAACTCCTGTCAACCAGTACACTTTAATTCCATCCAGCTTCCTTTCTTAGACACAGTCCGGTATCTTGGCTTTCTTTCAGACCGAAGACTAACATTGAACCCACATACTAAACTCAAAAGACAAGAACTTAACTGACGATACGGCCAATTATACAGACTACTGACCAGAAAATCTCTACTTTCAATTGACAACAAATTACTTATCTACAAGACATTCCTGAAACCCATGTGGACTTGAGCTGTGGGGGGACAGCAAAATTTTCTAGCATCAAACGCATTAAATCCTTTCAATCTAAAGTCCTTCGAACAATAGTTGATGCTCCATTCTATGTAACCAACAAAACCTCACACCATGTCCTTAACATCCCATTTGCCCTAAACCTTATCCCAGAAATTTTTTCCACATTTCACCAGAACCTTACGTTTCATCCAAGTCCCATTGCACAATCCCTATCCAGCACCACCCACCCCTACAATCATATATTGCAGTTTTGGCATCGGCCAGATTCTCCACTCAAGCCATGTATGCGTGATTATAGCGCCTCTGATCAGCCTGTACTGTTCTAAATACCAGTAATGCGGCTGAGTTAGAGTAGCTGGACCTTATAGAGTCCTGCCTTTCCTTCCACTAGTTGGGAGAAAAGCTTGGTTCGGAGATCTTTAGTGAATGAATTTTATTTGATTTATTTTTTTTTTTTAGATGTTGTATAGAAGTATGTGTATTTTTGGATAGTTATTTTGTTTAGTTGAGTTTCTTTTTGTTTAGTTTATATACATTTACTTTTAGTAATATTATTTTTCTGTATTATTTATTTTTGTTTATTGTTGATAGTGTGTGAATGTGCTCTCTGAATACTATTAGAAAAATCCTTAATCGTGACAGATTGTAATCTCTCTCAATAAATAAGGAAAAAAATAAATAAAGAAGCTGTTGTGTTTATTTAATAGCCTTTAGGTCATTCAAAATTTTGGTCACATTTGGGCATCAATTTTTTATAGAAAAAAAATGAGAGAAATAGCATGTTTTTTCATCTTCTTAGTAATCTGTATAATTGTTTTAGGAAATTACTAATGTGAGCATAAATATTTAATCGTAGATACGTCGTCTTGAAAAGAAATTAGTATAAATATTTTTTCTCTTACAGTATAGGCTCTATTAATGCTAAATAATAATAATTGAATTTTATATAGCATGGATAAATAATTTTATTGTTTAGTTTTGAAAATTTGACTTAATTTGTTTGGTATTTGTATTAAATCAATGACGATTTGACCGATGAATAAAAGAAACAAAACGTTTAGACTGCCATGCTTGGCAACGAACTAGCGATTGTAACCTTACTTCCTAGACTAAAGGATTTTTTGGGTAGTGTGGAGTAAGGTGGTGAAGATTTAGCCTTTCATGGGAACAAAAGCTTACTCAGCTTTTGAAAAGTAGTTAATTCGAAACAAATCACCATCAAACTTCACCACTAGCGGATCAAGGATTAATTTTTTTGGGGAGAGAGCTTCAACCCAATTGGTTTTTTTTTCATATGTTTTATATATACATAATATATACATATGTATATATATATATATATATATATATATATATATATATATATATATAACGATAATTACTTTGGAAAAAAAAAAAACTATATGAAATAGTGTTTAAGTGATACTTCAAGTCCTATTAAATGTAATTACACGAACAATAATACTTTAAGAGATAAGAGAGCGTTGTATTATTAAGGATGGAGACGGTCCGGAGCGGCGGTCATAAATAGAATAAATAGTGGCAAAACTATTTTATTAAAAGCCAACTTTTTGACCCGGCTTTGCAGGTATTCTTCAGGAAGGTGTGTTCAGCAAGGAGTTTCACTTAGAATTGTGTTCTAAGTGAAACTCCTTGCTGAACACACCACCCATAATTTTTATTCATAAAACAGGGTTACATTCTACCATTTTGGGAGGGGGCTTCAGCCGGAAAGCCCCTCCCCCCATAGATTCGCCTATGAACTTCACTAAGTGTACAAAATTTGATTGAAATTGACTTCATTTTTTAGGAAAACTAATGAACTAGGAAGTGAGGCTGTAAAAAAATACTCCAAGGTTTTTAATGAAATAATTATTCTGTATACTAAAGTAGGAAGAGATCTAGTTTAAAAAAGAAGAAAAAAAATAATGTGGATAGGATCTTGAAGCAGTGTTACACTTGGACTCAAGGCAGAACAGATCCTCCCTTTTCACTTTGTTTCTCGTAACTTAAAAAAAAATCATAAACTGGTTCGGCCAGGTGACGTGTATTAATAATTTTTAAAATACTTTGTACTCGGTACACAGAGTAACATTCGCCCATCTCTGCCCAACGACGCCCTTCTAGATCGGCGTCCCGAGGCAATAGCCCCGGATGCCCTACCTTAAGGTCGGCACTTTGTACGCTATGTACGCAGACTCGTAAGAATCTCTTTATTTCTGTTTTGAAATTCCACAATGTAGTAGTTAAATATTTCTTAATATATTTTTATTTTTCATGACTTTCATGACCTGGAATCCAGCAGGCTGTTCCTAAATCAGAATAAATCGATGTTCATCTTTGCGGGATTCAATCGATTGATCGATTCCTTCGATTGAATCAGCGCTGAGTGTTACATACCAAAAATGTAGTTTAGCGCTAGACGCCCAGAAGGTGGTTTGATGGCGCAAATTGCGATTAGATTGGATGGGCACCCTTGGTTCAGCGCCATCAACTATTCTCGTAATTTTTTATTAGAACTAAGTTGTTGATTTATAATCAACCAAGGACCAAAATGTTTTGGCAACTTTTCTAATTAAGGCAAATAACTCTCATGAGTTTTAATAAGGCAACATTCAAAATTATGGGCAACATTCTAATTTTATGCGGTGGACTGTATCTTAATGGATTGGTAGGTTATACTGATTGTGCAAAAATAGCTTACTACCGTCTTTAAGCCAGCTTACATCTTTTGGTTACCTTGAGGGCCTTCAGGTGCCGGTGGTGTGTCCAGAGTGACTGCCAATGAAGAAATGCTATATTAAGCCCAGTATAAAAACATCACTTGAAATTTGCCGCCCATTGTGCGGTGTCCCATATAATACCGTTCGAACTTACTTTTTGGCTTAAAGTACCATATCATGGGCTCTCTGACATATTTATAATAGTTGTCTATGATTAATATAAGCAGATACCTTCTGCCTTGCATTGGAACCACGGGCGGATCTACGGGGGGGGGGGGCTTTCGGGCTGAAGCCCCCCCAAAAATGGTAAAATATAACCATGTTTTATCGAAAAAAATATTTAAAAAGTATCTCTTAAAGTATTATTATGCGTGGGATTACATTTAAAAGGGCTTTAGGAATAACTTAAACACCATTTCATACAGGTAGTTAGTTTCTTTTTTTTTTCCAAAGTAATTATCGTTATTTTTATGAAAAAAAAAACTTTCGGGCTGAAGCCCCCCCCAAAAATAAATCCTGGATCCGCTAGTGATTGGAACCACTCTTGTTTGTTGGGGAGCAGGCAGGAAATAGTATTTAGTTCACTAGCGGATCCAGGATTTAATTTTGGAGGGGAGGGCTCAGCCCGAAACCTTTTTTTTCATAAAAATAATGATAATTACTTTGGAAAAACAGAAAGAAACTAACTACCTATATGAAATGGTATTTAAGTTATTCCTTAAGTACTTTTAAATGTAATTACCCGAACAATAATACTTTAAGAGGTATTTTTTTTCCCATGAAACATGGTTATATTTTTCTATTTTGGGGGGGCTTCAGCCCGAAAGCCCCCCTCCCCGTAGATCCGCCCGTGATTTAGTTAGTGATATTTTTTTATTAAAAACCTATATACAATTAAAATCTCTGTTACTGTTTGCATATAACATACATACCCTACTACTACTTGGCAAGGAAAGTATTTTAATCGTATTAAATTTTTAAGGTGCAGTTTTCAACGGATTCAGAGCACATTGAGTATGAAAAAAGGCATTTTTGGTGTATGCTCTGTATGTCTTTTCAACTATTAAGAACCTCTTGGATTGGTGGACCTATCTTTTAATTTTTTCTACTTGAAATTTTTTTTTATATAATATAAACTCGAGAAAAGCAGCAACAAAATTAATGAGGAAAACAAAATTTTATTTACCCAAAACTTAAAAAAATATACATTTAACGATTAATCATATAAAATGGATTAAACTCCTCACAAATATATACATATATATATTAATTAAACCAGTATTAGTATCAATATAGTATTGAACTTACGCATGCTATTTAAACCATTGATTGATCAAACCGTAAAATATTCTCAACATGTACCCATGAATAACCATTTACCTTAGTTTAATTTTAATTCCAAAATTATAAATCACCCAGAGCATTCTAGATACTCAGTTAAAAAGTAATTAAATATCTACAATGATAAGGATATTTAATACGATATGCCAGCGGTCTATATTGTACTGGTTGATGCCGATCTTTTTTATACTGCATCCTTCGTATGACCTCCTGGGTCTTCTTGATCCTTTTAAAAAGATATTTATGTTTTTAACAATTAATGACCACAAAAAAAAAAAAAATCCTCAATTTCCGAATACAAAAAAAAGTATTAAAATCAGTCATTTTTCGATGCCCATGGAGTATGACACTGAAAATATTGTAGTTTATACATCTATAATTCTGTATATTCGGCCTGTTCATACTGTGATACCATTATTTTTGTATCTCTGTATAGTACATGATAAATAATGCTCTGCAAACTCTTTTATCAAAGATTTTCTTTTCATGAATTTACTACGTCGTTCAGCCGATGCGCATGTTCTTCTTTGTAGACCCCGATCGATCAAGTGTTTGAGGTAGTTTGAAAACAGATGCCGTTTCGTTTAGAGGGGAGCAGTGTCTTTTGTTTTTATCGTTCTGAATTGTTATTATGTGAATATAAGTATTGTAATATTGCGTGATTTATAGTTTTGATTTACACGATCAGTTTTATTGCATTGTACAAGAAAATCAAATGTTTTAGCGATTGGTAACATTATGTAATTTGTAACATAAATAATAATTAGGCATAGCAACCCGGTTTCATGCCATACCTTGATTAAACATATCAAAGTTGTGGTTGTAATGAATGAGGAAATAATGTAGATTTGAAAATAGAGTATTTGTTTTTCCAAATTAATAAATCGAGCCAACTCCAGTATTATTACAGGTTTTTGAATTACAGAGATTAATTAGAATTAAACATCCAAAATGGCTTTAGATTTTGATGTGCTCGAGTATTGTCGTAAACTTAGAACTTCAAAACAGCCTCCTTATACGTGTCCAATTGTTGAATGTAGTAAAACTTACAAAAGTATGTGTGGATTGCAATATCATTTAGTAAATTTCGATCACAACAATTGTAAAGATGACAGTCCTGCTGTACAGAAAGCAACACCACAGGAGACACCTGCTAGAAAGTGTAAGTAGTCTAACTTATGTTTATTAACTTTGTTGGCATGATTACTGTAATTAATGATCTTAAATTACAGTTTGTTGTCACAAGAGTCTTGATCAAGAAAATATCAATATATCTTCCTTTAAGAATCGTATTCTTTTTTGTTTTTCCTTGTGTAAAATAATTTAAGTTTGATTCAATTAGCTTTTCCTGTTACTTATTGTTTATTCAGAATATTACTTCATGTTTGCTTATGTTTTCTCTTGGTTTGATCCTATGCGTTGAGTTGGTTATTAGGTTCTATAAAATATGTTTTTCTCTTTTTTTATATATATTTTTTTGCAATTAAAGATATGTCCCTTGAGGATTCAATGTTAAAGTTAGACTTAACCTTATGCATAATACAGTAAACAACTTTTCTTAACTCCTATTTTGAATTAGCCAAGTATTGTAAATATGTTGAATATTAAAGGGGTAAAATTCAATGACACCCTATATTGCACCTTAAGGTTTAATTAGACAGCATAACTCAGAGTTTTTTTATAAATTAATATTATGAAGAGAAAGATGTAATGGGATGAACTTATCAATGTATCTTCTTCTTCAACCAGAAACTTACCATATCAGTGAAGCCCAATATCTGGTTTTGTGTTGGCCAAATTGTTTGTTTATTTATCATGTATGTGTTACTAACCAAATGTAAGTATTGGGTTATAGCTAGGAATCTGATTTGAAAGATTTATTTTTTTAATTTATCCACCAATGGTTATGCTGATTTTAGGGTCGATGGATCCGTTGGATGAAACATGGGTCAGGGTTGTTATATCTCAATTCGCTTTAGCTATTTGTATTCAGTTTACTTTCTGTCTTTATGGGCAAGTTCCTAAAATAAGTGCTGAGTTCAACGATGGCATCAGATCCATCTCTTCACTGGTTGAAATGACAATAACCTCAGCCCTCAGTTTTGGAATTAGCCTCATTTATATATCTTTTTAAATTCAACAATTCAGTTGCTAGGTATTTCTTTATACATTTTTCATGTGTTTAGTTGTCTTATAGGAGTGTGAACCCAACAGGTTGTTCCTAAACTGAGCATAATTCGCTGTTCATTGCTGCTGGATTGAATTTATAATGGAATTAGTGCTGAGTTTAGAATTTCTGTAAACATTATGGTTCAATGTTCCTACTCAGTTTTACCATGTTCATTTAATAATGTTTAAACTCTCAAAATACTATTGTATGTTATATAATATTTTTTAATTAACGATTTAAGATCTAAAAATTTATTTATACGATCGATTTCATTTAAATTTAGATCTTCAGATCCAGCCTCTTGTTATAACTTACAGACATACAAAGCCCTAGAGTCAGGGTCCAAAAACTGACCTCATCACAGGTGAAGTTTTGAATGTAAATTTATATTTGTTTATTTAGAAATATTACATTCTGTCACATCAAGGACATTTATAATAGTGTTCAGAGAAAGCACACTCACACTCTATTTACAATAAAAAAAAAAAAAAAAAAATAATACAGAAACTTAATAATAATAAATACAATAAAATAAAATAAAAATAAATACAATAAAATAAAATAAATGTATATAAACAAAAGAACTAACCTAATCATACACACTCGGGCTTGAGTGGAGGATCTGGCCATTGCCAAAACTCCAATAGATGCTTATTTACAAAAGGTCTCTGGGCCACTGCCGCCGCAACCTTCGAGGAGGATTTTAAGGATGGGTGGTGCTGGATAGAGATTGTGCAAGGGGATTTGGATGATAGGTAAGGTTCTGGTGAAATTTGGAGAATTTTTCTGGAATAAGGTCTAGGACAAATGGGATATTAAGGTCATGGTGTAGGATTTTGTTATTTACATAGAACGGAGCATCAACTATTGTTCGAAGGACTTTAGATTGAAAGGATTGAATACGTTTGATGTTAGAAGCTTTTGCTGTCCCCCACAGTTCAAGTCCGTATGTCCATATAGGTTTCAGTATTGTCTTGTAGATAAGTAATTTGTTTTCAATAGGAAGTTTGGATTTTCTGTTTAGTAGTCTGTATAGCTGGCCGTATCGTCGGTTGAGTTCTTGTCTTTTGAGTCTAGTATGTGGGTTCCACGTTAGTCTTCGGTCTAAATGAAAGCCAAGATACCGGACTGTGTCTGAGTAAGGAAGCTGGATGGAATTAAAGTGTACTGGTGTACAGGAACTGCGTCGGAGTGTAAAGGTAATGTGTTGGCATTTAGATTCATTAACTTTAATGCGCCAGTTATTACACCAGTGCTCAATCAAGGTGAGGTGGTTTTGGAGATTTAAGGATGCTATTTCGGGATCAGAGTTGGATGATAAGATTGCGGTGTCGTCAGCGAATGTTGCAAGAAAAGTATCGGGATGAACAGGGATGTCAGCAGTAAAGAGGATGTAAAGCACGGGACCCAAGACGCTGCCTTGGGGAACACCGGCTTTAACGGAGTAGATATTGGAAAATTCTGTTCCACAGCGAGCTCGAAAGGAGCGGTCAGAGAGGTAGGATCGGAGGACTAGGTACAAGGACTGAGGTAAATGGATTTTAAGCTTGGAGAGCAGTCCGGAGTGCCATACCCGGTCAAATGCCTGTGCAATGTCCAGAAAGGCACCCGAACAGTATTCCTTGTTTTCTAGGGCTGAGGAAATATGATCAACAACTCGGAGTCCTTGTTGAACAGTAGAATGTTGAGAGCGAAAACCAAACTGATGGGAAGGGATATTTTGGGATTCTATAATGGGTAGGATTCATTTCAAAAGGATCTTTTCAAAAATTTTTGGAAGGATTGGGAGTAGGCTGATTGGTCTATAGGATGTTGAGCTATTGAGAGGTTTTCCTGGTTTTGGGAAAAGGATAATAGTGGAGTGTTTCCATAACAGAGGGAAGTGGGTGGTGCGTAGGATACAATTGTAGATATATGTAAGGAATATGACTGCTTTGGATGGAAGTTGTCGAAGGATTTGAGGTGTAAGGAGATCATGTCCAGGAGCTTTACGGGGGATTAGTTTTTTTAATTGAAATTTTACTTCGGAAGGATGAATAGCTTTTGGGGGCAAGGAAAGTGGGATTGGTGATGTAAGGAGTTCTTCTACTGTTACGGTGTGGGCAGGATTGAATGTAAATTATGAAAGTTTTATGTTATTCTTAGAAAAGTGAACCTAATCTGCTCTTCCAGAGCCACTGCTTTAAAAAATGGTGGTTGATTTAAAGAATATTAGGCCAGTAACTTGAAGATCTTTATGGGAAATATGTATGAAAAGTTTTTATTTTTATAAGTTGTATATATGGGTTCAAACATGTAAAAAACAACATAGGTAGCGCAGCGCAGACCACCAAGGGAAACATTTTTACAGCCAATAAAGCCAATTTTTTTCAAGTTTTTTTTTTTATTTTATTAGCTAAATTTAATAATTTGGTTAAGTGGTATGGTAGAAAATCATGGTCAACGAACACTGATTTTTACCAAATTTGTCAAAGACTGGGAGAAATTAATATAAATTTCCCTTCAGCTTGGAAATGAGTTCCCTAAGAGAAATAACTCAAAGAATCTAAGTTGTAGAGCATCAAATTGGGCTATCTCTGAGTGCCAACATTTTTAATGGAGATTAGTTTTAATGGAGATTTCTTCAATCGTGTGTGAAAAAATGAATCAGGATTCGTTATTTCTTTATAAAATTTGGTTTCCTTTGACACCTTGTTTCAAATTCCTTCACTACTGGGAAGTGTAAAAGCAGCCTTTATTGTATATAGCAGACTCTAAACAACAATAACTCAGTAGAATAGATACCCATGCTGTTGAAATATTGAAAATCACACATACTTTCATTACCAATTTTCAGCCATCGGGAGATTACAGATTTTGAGTGGAGTAAATGACCTACTACACTAGAGGACATGGAAATTGATTCTCTACAAGTTTAATTATGTGAGTTTTTTCTCTTAAAGAACTCATTTCCAAGTTGCAGGACCATTTATTGTAATTTTTCTCAAGTTTTGACAGATCTGATAAAAATCTGATTCGTCATCATCAGCGTTCGTTGACCATGGTTTTCTACCATACCACTTTATCAAATTATTAAGTTTAAGTACTCGTTCAATGAACATTTTAACATTCTTTAATTTCTGAAAGATTATGTTTTCTGCTTTGATGTAACATTTAGGAATTATAGATGAAAAAACAAAATAAAGGTCAAAGGAGTATGGCTTTGTTGGCTGTGAAAAGTTTTCCCTTGGTGGCCCGCTTTAGCAAAATTGTTTACATGTTTGAACCCATACATACAAGTTAAAAAAATAAAAACTTATTCCATATTTTTCGCAATATATCCCATTTCAATCTTCAAGTTACTGTCCTAATAATCTTTAAATCAGCTGCCATTTTTTTGCCTTGAAATGGCAAAGAAAGTTCATTTTACTTAGAATAATATACACTTTTATAATTTACATTCAAACCTTAGAATGTGATGAGGTCACTTTTTTGGCCCTGGCTCCAGTGCTACTATTTGGCACTATAGTTTTAATTGTTATTGACAGTATTCTTTCATTATGACTACCATGTTAGGGTTTCCTCTCTGGCATTATATATGCCATTTTGATGATGGCTAGAAATTATGGTAATAAATACTACAGTAGTGTCGCATATTGGTGGTGGGCCACAAACACACTATTTGTATTGGGTTGGCAAATAAGTCCTTTCGTTTTTTTCTGTTTATATTTATGTTACTATCTTAAACTTCTCATCTGAAGAATTTATCTCTAAAGATTTTTTGTCCTATTTGTAATATGTTAACAACCATTTCTATAAACTTGTTAGAATTAGATTAGTATTGTGTTTGCCATTGTACTGTGAATATGGCATAAAATATCATTCATTAACAACATATTTTGAAATGAAATGAATGAAAATAAATTTTTATTATCCTGGGACTTTTGTCCCTTTAGGACAAATTATAGATACAGAGGAAATGCCTGTGTGGCCATAAAATTAAATTAAATATTTACAGTGGTCATTAAAATAAAAATATTGGAAGAAAAATAAAACAAAACCACTAAATACATACAATATATACAATACAAACATGTGAAAATAAAATAACATAATTAAACAAAACCATTTCTGGGGAACTTAAAAAGTTCTCTTATCTACTTTTCATGATCAATTGGGTTGGGAAAGAAGTAGGTGCTTAAAAAGGAGAGATTTAAATGAGGGAACTGATTGCACATGTCGGATATTGGGAGGGATGGTATTCTAGGTGGAGACGGCTTGAATTATAAAGGATTTGTCAAACGCAGCAGTTTGGCGAGAGGTGGATAGAGGTCAGAAGTACGGTTATATGCGTATCTCTTGAGATTCCGAAAACAAAATGTATTGCGCAGTTCATCAGGCATTTAAGTTTGGCCTCGAATTCTCCCGAGCCTAAAATAATTTTGCTGTATTATTTTAAAAAATCTAGTGCTCTCATCACATGAATTTCACTTACTACCCTCGTCTTAGCAGAAATAATCATTTTGAGACAAAGGGGAAGTGAAAGTAAAAATTATAGATGCTGTATTTATTTACATTTCATTTTGGGTATTTATATTTGTTTAAATACCTTAATATATACAAATTTTAATTTTAATTTTGCTGTAATCTATACATACATGAGCCGATAGCTGGCTCTTGCTTGACAAGCAGATAAACAGAATCACGGGAGCTGAAAGGAAATACTTACATAGGGTCGCGAGAAAAACCAGAAGAGGCCACATAATGAGAGAGAAGATGAAAATTCCAGCACTAAAATTAACTATTGAAAAAAGATTGCTTAATTGGTTCAGTCCTGTTTGTTGTATGAGCGATGACCAGGAACTCAGTGACGTAATGAAAGCTCAACGTACTGGAAAAAAGCCATGCTGAAGGTCTAGAATTTTATATAAAGAGTATATCCAAAGGATTGGAGGAAAAACTCCCCAACAAATGAAGGAACTCAGCACTTACCTTACAGTAAGGCTTGGCAGCATTGGATTGAATCCTCTCCATGCTAGATATGGCACAAGGAGGAAGATAGAGTAGAAGACAAAAAAATTATAAAAAATCCATAAATGTATGATGTATTTTTATTGACTACTGTGAAACAGTATTTTTATTGACTACTGTGAAATAGAGAAGTTTAAATGTTTTTAATTTCTTATAATAATTGTTACTAAAATCCCAATATAGTACCTGATCTCTATCCACTGGTAAATATAATAAGTTTTGAATCCTTAACCATGTTGTTTAAGATTATTTTGTGTGTCATCATCATCGTAGTTGGCGCAACAACCTGTTGACGGGTCTAGGCCTCCTCCAAAAGTCTCCGCCAGTTGGCTCTATCTATTGCTGCAGCTCTCCAGTTCCTAACACCGAGGAGATCGCGTGCGTCTGCTGTGTCGGAGTCAGCCCACCTGACATTTGGTCTACCCACTCGTCGCTTGCCATGAAGCTCTTCAGCCAATGTCCTCTTAGGGATCTCGTCCTCCTTCATCCTTGTAACGTGGCCCGCCCATCGAAGTCTCCCAGTCTTGATCCACTTGATATCAGGATCTCTGTACAGTCTTGAGAGTTCCTGATTCTTCCTCCTTATCCAGGTGTCTCCCTCTCGAACTGGGCCAAAAATTCTTCTCAATATCTTCCGTTCAAACACCAGAAGGTGGTTCTCACTGGCTCTAGTGAAGGCCCAGGTATCTGACCCATACGTAAGTACTGGTCAAATCAGGGTCTTATATAGGCCGATCTTGGTCTTGTTGGAGAGGTGTCTGCTTTTGAAGTATTTTGCTAGCCCAAGATAGCTTCAATTGGCTGCTGCAGTTCTTCGCTTGATCTCCTGGAGTATGTCATTTTGAGTGTTTATTTCTGAGCCCGGGTATACGAAACTTTGCACCCTCTCAAATCTATATGGTCCAACTTCAAAAAAACCTGTCCCTGACTCTGATGGTCCTATTCTTAAATACTTTGTCTTAGTTTGGTTGATGACCAAGCCAAGAATTTTGGTTTCTTGTTCTAGAGCCAGGAATGCTTCTTTTAGGGCACTCTCAGATCTGGCAGCTATATCAAAGTCTTCTGCATACCCCAGCAACTGGACCATACTGTTGAATAAGGTGGCCCGTGTTTGGATCCTTGATCTGCGTACTGCTCTCTCCACCACCAAATTAAAGAGAAGGCATGCAATGGCATCTCCCTGTCTCACGCCGATGTTTGTGGCAATAGGTTCAGAGAGGTCAGATCCGATACGAACCACGCTGTTCGACCCCAACATGGTCATTCTCACCAGACGAATTAGCTTCCTGGGTATGCTCATTTCTTCTAGTGCCTGGTAGAGCTCAGGTCGGGTTATACTATTGTACGTAGACTTCAAATCCAGAAAGAGGTGGTGCTTAACCATTCTATATTCCTTGGCTTTTTCCAGAACCATTCTTAGGGAGAAGATCTGGTCCAGGCGTAACGATGTGGCGGCCCCATCGCCCAGCCATAAGGCTGCAACCAGCCACTGGTCCTCCAGGTTGGGGGAAACACTCACACTAACATGCACACAGTACTCAATAATAGCACACTACAACACCCTTCATTACAGACAAAGGTCAATCACAGTACACACCCCAGGGTCACCTCCCCTGGGTAGCTGCCCCAGATGGGGGAGTGCGTCGGGGCGCTCATAGGAGGCAGCCCCTCCACCTGACTCGGGGGCAGTGGGCCGATAACCCATTCCCCCAAAATTCAAATTTTGTGTGTACTGCCATAAATATTTGAAATTATATTTAATTTTGTGTTGTCTGAGTGTGCCTTACTGCTAAAAGATTTTTAACAAATGCTTTATATATAGCTGTACACGTGTATCTAATTTTTTTATATTTGTTTATTTAAAAAATTAAATTAAAGTATTAAATTATATTTGTATCTCTAGAACAATTTACTTAGTCTTATTCGCTTAGTTAGTTCTTTGTCTTGAAAATCTAACCTAACCTGCCAAATGACAGATGCACTTACTTAGCTTCAGTACTAAACAAACAGTTCAATCATGTGATTTTGGTCCGCCTGTCTAAATATGACACTACTATAATGTTCCCCATAATAGACTTAAAACATAAATTTGAGTTTTTAACATTTTAAAGATATATTCATGTTTTTTAAAATACATGAATTTTAGTTGTGCCTTCAAATAATTATTCAAATACAAATATTCTATTAATATTTTATATGCTATATAGGCAGCCTAAAAGAAACTGTCTCAGCCCTCGAGCCTGTAATGCCGAGCAGTGCCTTATTCACTGTGCTAACCTGCTCCCTTGTTAATTTACACAATTAATACATTGTTGTAAATCAATTTAAGAATATTTTGTTGGAAGAAAGTACTTATATTAATGTAGAAGTTACAAAATTTACAACTAAAAGTAAGTTCCTAAAGAACAAAACAAAACATTTGAAAACGAAGCCATATAACAGAACAGGGTGAACTTGAATCATTTTGCACAACAGTAAGCAGTAAAAGATCTTATTTTTAGAATCCTTTTATGACTCTGTTAAACTCTTGGATTCCATAGTGCTCATACCGGTAGTTCTTTCTTCATCGTCTATCTTTGACCTTTGATATGTTTCCTATTTTTACTTATAAGAAATAAAAAACTCATTATATTTCTAAGTGTATTAATGATGGATTTTGTCATTGACATATTTTTCTATTTCTCAAATATTCTTTGCATTACTCATTTTTCTGTGGAAATTGAAAAATATCTGAGGACTGATAGTGATTCTAGAATGATATTATGATAATAAATTTCCTAATATTGTTTTTTTAGATTAAATTTTATTTGATTTATATACTATTTCTAGCGAAAAAGAAGAAGGGACGGACACACAATACTCCAACTGTCAAAACTCAAACTCCTACACGGCAGCCTTTATCATATTCAGAAGCACAGAAGTATGTGGAGTTTGAAGTAGATGATAAAATTCACAGGCTTTTGATAGATGAAGTGATTCCTGTAATTTCAAGACATAATTATGAGTTATACAGACCAAAGGTAAGTGTTTATTTTAAACAACTACAAAAAAGATTAAAAAATAATGTGGAAACTAGTTGTATGAAGTTAAGCTATTTCCAGTTGATCTTTTATAGTAGTGAATCCATTATGTGGACATTAATTCCCTTATCGCTGTCCTTGAAGTTTAGTTTTCTAATGCAGTGGAGTTATGTGGGACCAGGTTATCGGAATATTATTAGGAAATAAATTATATCTATGAATAAAATATTATTAATATGTATTTTGATATGTGTGTATAAGCAATTTTAAAATGTTTATATGTAAATGAATTTCAAACTTATTGACATAAAAATTTACAAATTCAAGCTTATCAGTGTTAAGCTGACCGCCCACCGAACGCGCAGCTGAGCTTAGCTGAGTCAGCTTCCAAAGCCAAATCAAAGAATTTTAATGACAGGCGGCCACCAGAAGCGAAGCTGAGCGAGCGCTGTTGATTAGCATAGGAAAGGCCAGCTCAGCTCAGGTTTGGCTTGACCAGGATTCGGTTTTGGAAGTTGACTCCGCTACGCCCAGCTTTCTCCACCATACCTACTCACCACTGCCTCACAACCATATAGCTTGGTTCCTCCGTGTCATTTTTTTTTCTGCTTGTTTTCATTGCACAACCCCTCAAATTATTTTATTTTGGTTCAGTGTAAAATAGGCAATGGATGTGGAAGAATTTTTAATCGAATGTGTAAGGGAAAATATTTGATTTTATACTCAAATATTCGATTTTTCTTTTCAACTCCGACATGATCAACTTTGCTATTTTTTTAAAATCTTATATATGCTGTATATATATGTATGTGTATACACACATATATATATATATATATATATATATATATATATATATATATATATATATATATATATATATATATATATTATTTTTAATTGATGTCCGCTTGTTATCATTACACGACCTCTGGAATTATTTTATTTTGGCTCAGAATAAAATATACAATGGATGTGGAAGAAATTTTAATCGAATGTGTAAGGGAAAATATTCGATTTTAAATACAAATATTCAATTTTTCTTTTCAACTCCGACATGATCAACTTTGCTGTTTTTTAAAAATGTTATATATGCTATATATATATTTTAAAATGTTATATGGAATGTGAGAAGGATACCAATGCAAGGCAAGTTGCTGACTGAGCTGAGCTCCACTACGCAATCGGTTGCTGAAACTGTTAGAAAGAGGTATTTAAGCGAATCGATATCATAGTATAATATAAGCAAAATTTGAATGGATAGAAGAATTTTACACTGGTAAAATATAAAAATACTAATATCAAAATAATTCTATTATTTTGTCTCTCCTATAAAATTGTATAATTTGCAGTTACATCATTGTTCCACTAGATGAGCGGGATGGTTTGGGTTGTGAAAAACCTGTTATCTCAAATTTGTAAGGAGAACCATGTCAATGTTTGCTATATTGTTCTAATCCTTATTAATTGAGAGAATTCATCATAAATTAATAATTTTAACAAAAAATAAAAAGTATTTCAAATGAAATGATATATCTTATTAATTAATAGGAAAAATGATAATATTTGTATTACTTAAGATTTTAAATCTTGTATCTGCTACCCAAAGAAATTTGAGTTTTTTTTTCAGCAATACCAGCCAAGTATGATTAAGCATAAAATAACGAGCTATTTTAAATTTATTTAGGGATCCTCAAGTTCATCTTGTAAAAATGTTATAAAACTGCCTGATTTGTCCAAATTACCTCAGCCTAAGTTCAGGATTATCGATGACTATAATATACCTGATGCGCCACCAAGACCTGCAGGTTATATTAGGTATAGTATTGGTATAATTTAATAAAGATAATGTTTATAAGTTCTAAATTCTATTTTAAGTAATACATGATAAAAGTTAATAACTCCAGAACACTTGCTCCTGATCCATAATACAGCTAAAACTAATCAAGCAATTAATGAGCAATTGATTGGTTTAGATGTAATTTAGTACTTTGATAAAATGAACCTTTTGTTCAAGTGGAACTTTTTCTCTACTTCATTGCAGCAAGAAAACATTGTTATTGTTAATCTGTGGAATGTTAATAATAATAATAGAAAAATGTAGTTGTTTTCAGGCTGGTCTCTGCTGCCAAGTATCCTTGAGGGCTTTTTCATCTCTTGTAATCGACATCTTCTATAGTTAATCTGAAGGTTTCACAAGTTTAAATATTGTTTTTCACAATATAAGGTTGACCATACTGTTACTAACCTCACTCATAAGATGAAGATATCCTCATTGTTCGAAAGTCCCTGGAGGTTGAACTGATAACATTTGTATCTATTCTATTTTCATTATTGATAAATAATTTTTTTCCTAACTGTGTTGATAAAGAAAAGAGGAAAATTGGTTGTAGGTGATAATAAAATAATATCTATAAGAGCAAAGTATAAGCATTTGATACAAACAAATAATTTAATTCATAAGGAAGGAGATGGTCCGGGGTGGCGGTCAGAAATAGAATAAATAGTAGCAAAACTATTTTAGTAAAAGCCAACGTCTTCTTCAGGGAGGTGTGTATAGCAAGGAGTTTCACTTAGAACTGAGGAAGGAGAAGTGAAACTCCTTTGAGAAAGAGTTATAAGTGAAACTCCTTGTTGAACACACCTCCCTGAAGAAGACCTGCAAAGTCAGAAAGAAACGTTTTTTTATTATAAAATTGTTTTGCCACTATTTAATCTATTTATGACCGCCACCCCGGACCATCTCCTTCCTTAATAATACAACGGTCAACTATTAAGTATTGAATTTAATTCATAATTGGGTGGTTGATTAGAGGAGGGGGGGTCAGAAGTTAGTATTACCTAATAAAACTCAATTCAAATTTTTTAATAATCTTAATATTTCTGAATCAGGAAAACCTTTGCTTTTTTTGAGACTTTGATGGTCTAGGTAAGGGAATTAAAGTACAGAATGATTAATGTATTTTATCCTGATTGGAATAAGATATTTATAAAAAATTGAGATCTTACTGCATATTTAAGATCTTTTATTTTTTAAATTACCTTGTTTCATTAAACACCGTTCCCTTTAAACTGGACTCCTATGTTATATACTAGGTTTTTCCAAAAGTCCTTGTGCATAAATATAGCTTTATTTTATATTGCATATTTTAAACATCATTGAATACTACTCTTCAAAGTAAAATCTGTTGTTTTCAACTACAGCCAATAATTAGATTTGATGCCAGTACCACTACTTTGGTTTTGAGGCAAGGAACTCTTCAAATCTAATTTTTACGTCCTCTTAATCATCAAAGATTCTATCTGTTAAAAAATGAGCCATTGATCTAAACAAACCATAATCTTATGGGACAATATCTGGGCTCTACGCTAGGCAAAACGGTTACTGCCTGCAGTTCTGATAATTTTTCCTTGGTCATCGAGAATGATGTTCTGGGGTATTGTCATAAGGAATTAAAGGATTAGTCGAAATAAACATTGACATAAATAGTAGGATCAAAAACATTCTTATAGGATTAATTATGAGAATTGGATTTAAGGATTCATGCACAAGGACTTTTGTAATAACCTAGTTTATTCAATCTCTTTTCATCGTTATTTGTAGATAAAATAACATAATGTATACATATATAGTTGACGCAACAACCCACTGACGAAACTAGGCCTCCTCTTTATTTGTTGAGGTTTCGTAATTATTATCTTTTAAGGAGAGCGGGTAATTAGACCATTGCTCCTGATTCAGGTGGAGGTGCTGCCTCCTCAGAGCACTCTGACGTACTTCCCCATCCAGGGCAGCTACCTAGGGAAGGTGACCCTAGGGTGTGTAAGTGTAGCTGACCTTTTGTCAGTGTAAGTGATCGTTTACTGTTCTATGTGTATTTGGGCAGTGTATTGAACTCAGGAAACCGGAGGATCATTAATCTCCACTACCTGTACATTTCAGCTAGCCCTGTGGGAACATAACATAATGATGTTCAGCAAATAGTTGTTAACTTATAAATAATAAACCAAAATAGTTATCTATTTAAGAAATTATTAAAGTATAATCATTGAAACTTTCTATAATCAATGAAGATATTATTTTAGTTAATAATAGATCAAACACAATGAACATTCATTGGCTTAGACAAATTTAGGCATGTTAAGTTATTAATTTGAGTGATGGCAAATATTTTAAGTTTATATTACTAATTTGTATTTGAATGATGGAAATTTTGCAGTTACTATGCGTTTGTTTTACTTCTATTCCAGTATGAAATTTATATAATTGTTTTAGATTTATAGAGAAAAGTGTTGAAGATATGGAAGGAGAGGTAGAATACGATATGGATGAAGAAGATTCTGCATGGCTCGAGATTATGAATTCAAAGAGAGCTGAAAATGGATTAGCAGATGTTACTGTTGATGCTTTCGAACTTCTTATGGATCGTCTAGAAAAAGAATCTTTTGTTAGTAAAATATATATTATGTATTTTTTGTGATATTGCTTAAATTATTTAGCAAATAAATAACATTTATTTAGTAATTTTGAGGATAGAGTTTTTTTTTTATGTACATACTGAAAATTTACACAAAAATATACATATAATTTTAATTTATTTCTACTAAATAAAAAGTCAAGTAATTAGAACAATCTAAAATATTTATATTAATATTTTGTTTAAACTAATTACAAACAAAATTTACTATTGCAATACTATTGGTTTCTTTCTCTTATTAAATAAGTTATAAAACAGTTTAGAATCTGAACTGGAAGCTAAAATACCAATACTTTTTTTTACTTATACCTGAACTACTTACAAAACAGAATAATATACAATACTTGTGATTTATTTTTAGGAACTAAATTATTTATTTAAAAAATCACAATAACAAAAATATTAAACCAAGTTTAACCCTTTGACTGCAGGAGCTCATTCACGAGTTTCTACCATACGATACATCCGCAGGCGTAAAAAAAAAAAAAAAAAAAAAACCAATTTCTTTTTTGTGCATAAATTTGTGTAAAATGCTATTACGGGGCACCCTGCAAGATCTAAGCTCATCTTTAAATCGTTGAGTTAACTTTTCTGGAATTAAAGGAACTTCTGAACTAAAATAATTACCATGCTTTTCTCTGCTGGATTTTTCTCCTTTGAACTCAATTTGAAACTTGAGAAGTTCTTTCTTGATATCTATAAGATTAACTGTATGAGTTTCTACTAGAAATTCTGTTGTCACTAATTTTTCATCAAGGGTTTCTTTATCTTTTCTTAAGCGATTTTCTGATCCAATATCAATTGAAGAATTAATTTTGCTAAGCTCTTCAGTAACAGTTTGCTTCTCATCACTTTCTGAGTGACCACAAGTAGTTTTCTCAGCCAGTTTAGTTTCTTGAACTTCAGTTATATTTGCAATAATTTGGGTTTCTAGGTTATCACAATCTTGTTTCAAAATTTCCTGTTCATTATTAGAAGTTTTTTCAGCCAGTGTAGTTTCTTGGACTTCAATTATATTTGCAATAATTTGGGTTTCTAAGTTATCACAATCTTGTTCCAAATTTTCCTGTTCATTATTAGAAGTTTTTTCAGCCAGTGTAGTTTCTTGGACTTCAGTTATATTTGCAATAATTTGGGTTTCTAATTTATTTTCTTGAATTTGACTTTCCAAATCCCGCTTCCAAGCCTCCTGCTTGTTTTCAATACTACGAAGAATAGTCATTACTTGTTGAAACATACCGCACACATCAGCACAACTCAAATTGTTGGCACCACCTATGTTTATTTTTTCACGCTCCATATTATTTTCACTAAACTCCTGAATTTCATTTAATCCCGACGGACTTTCACACTGTCTATTTTCATCAAGTAGGCTTTGTACAACTGACTCTTCCTTATTTTCTACACTAACAACATTCCCATTAGATTTTCCAAGAATTATATTATTAAGATCTCTAACTTCTGTTTTCTCTCTCTGCTTATTCTCCATATTACTCAAAAATTATTAATAAAAGAAATAAAATTAAAATTAACAAGGATTGCGTGTTCAGTTGTCGTGACTATGTACGTTTTCAAAAGCCCCACGTTGGGCGTCATGTTGTAACGTTTCTCTTTCCCTCCAAAATCAAACAGCGAGTTTCCTTTTTCAATATACTATTTATTTTGACATATAACATAAATCTCAGGTTGGGTTCTGACAACTGAACACTCATTCAACATTAAATAACTATAATTTACTAATCACTAAATACACTAATTATACATATACAATTTATTATTGTTTTCAAAAACCTTGATTGTCCCAGTCTAAACTTTGTGGCTCTTTCTATTTTCTCAGCTTGCTGGCTAGTACCTTCTCTCTTGACCGCTTGTCACATTTTCCCTTGGCGGCTCATAACCTTCTCTCTTGGCCGCTATCACCTTCTCTCTTGGCAGCCCATCACATTCTGAGTTACATGAGGTTTGCTTCCCCCACCATTCGCACGCACTTTCTCCCCGTAGTTCGTGCTGTTACCACTTTCGCGCCACTATTTAAATGCCATGTAATGTTGACATTACAATATATATATATATATATATATATATATATATATATATATATAATTTAGAGAAACCTAAATTTATTTGTTTAGTAGAAAGAGATTTGTGTGTACCAAAATCAGCATTCAGTCAAAACAAAAATAAAAAATTATAAAATTAACTTATTAAGATTTATTTGATGTATAAAACATTTAAATAGAATATATACATGATATTCTGATATGTTCATGGATATGATACAAATAACAGAGAAAGGACATACCTTGGATTCAGGATAATTCTGCAACTGATAGCTTTTAAATGGTCAGATTAAACTGTTATGCATTTTTAATAAAAAATTACAACTGTTAAAAAGAAAATATTAAATATTATGAAAAAGTATGAATTGTTTTCACCTATTTTCAATATAAAAAATTCTTGAAGAGAGAATTTGAAATGGAAACGTTCTTTCTTCATTTACTGAAGCACAGGCTGTTATAGTCATGTAAAAATTTCTACCTGCTTTACGGTTTTCCCACCAGTTCCCATGAAACTGCCTTTATCGAGTGCATTCAGAATGCTCTCTGTTATTCGTTGCAACCTGCTTTGCATTCTGTTATGCTCTTTAGAATGAACATGTTCCTTTTAGAGTCAAGATATTTGAAATGAGAGGACATTAGGGTCTCAATAGCCTCTGCAGTGAGGGATGTAATTAGAAATATTTTTATTTACCTACTAGCTTATCAATGAGTATTTTCATTTAATTTATTCTGACTTTTCTACTTTACTAATTTAATATTTTGATAATGTTAATAACATAAGGAATTTAACATTTGGATTTAATTAGATAATAAACAATTTTTAGATCCAGATGTGTTCCTTCAACTCTTAAACTATTGTACTGTGGGTTAAATCATTTTTGTTTAATATTTATAAGGGGAAAAAAAGTGTAGTTAGTTCAGCTGAGATCTATTTCATAGCAAATACCTGCATTAACAAAGTATTCTTGATGTATTTGTTTTAGATGCAGACAAGTAACAAACCTGGTGAAGGATCTGCTGTGATTGACGATGATGCTGTTTGTTGCATCTGTACTGATGGCGAATGTCAAAATTCAAATGTTATATTGTTCTGTGATATGTGTAATTTGGCTGTTCATCAAGATTGTTATGGTGTTCCCTATATTCCTGAAGGACAATGGCTATGCAGGTATTGTACTAACTATAAAAATGTTTTTACATCAAATATATGTGCATAATTAAGTTATTTGGTTATTTAATAGTAATCAAGAAAGAATTATAAGAGTTCAATGATAGCTTATATTATTTATGAAAGAACTAAGACTTCAGAACTGATGGACTTTGTATTTGATATTTTTCAAACATACTATTTAGCAAATGGAAAGAAAAATAAATGCAGCAGGAGTTATATTAATAATGTATTTTAAATGGCAAATTAATGTATAATCATTAATGAAATAACCCAATTAGTCTAAACTTATATTATTGTCTTGGAAATTATTTCCAATCTTAAATGTAACAATAAGCTTCTATTTTTCTCTGCTTTTTCCAGGCTCCTTGTTTGATATTTGTGTGCATACTCCATATAAAAGAAAAAAAGACTTTCTTTTAGTTGGAACAGGCCCTGTTTTTCGTTAGCTAGTACTCTGGTTAGATATCAGAGGAAATTACTAATTTTTCTACCTCAGTCATATTGTTTTGTTTAGCTTATTCACACACAAGCTAACTGTAACTGTAAGCTAACTGTAAACTGATCTTGAAACCGTAGGAATACTATATACTCCTGTTCTTGCATCATCTCAGTCACTCTGTGATATTTACCCTAATTAAAATTGCCAGTGATGTTCAAGCTGCTAAAGATAACAAAAAATTAACTGCCTATGTACTTCTTGATTTCTCCATAGCCTTTGATCATTAACCATTTCATTCTTTTTTTCCCTCAAATTAAAGTCCTTAACCTTCTCAGTTCTTTCTTTTGGTTTTAATTTTTCCTCTTTCAACTGATTCAAACAATTTCTATTTCTTATCAACCGTTATCTTTCTATGTCCTCAAGAATTGCTCAGGGTTCAAGCATATCTCCTTTTCATTTCAGATCTTATATTAACAACCTCCATAAATCAATTCTTCATTGTTCTCACACCTTTATGCTGATGACTCCCAAATCTATTTATCCTTTTCTCTTATGTTATTTGTAGTTTTGCCAAAATTCAAAAATACCTATATCAAATCAGTGCCTGAGAAAATTTAAACAGATTATGGTTAAATGCTGCTAAAACTCAAGTCATTGTCTATGATTTCAAATCCTTTCTCAGATCCATTACCTATTTTACCATACTAAACCTACATGACCATCCCATCACTTTCTAATCTAATCTTCAGTTAAATTTAGGCTTGATTATTGACCAAACTCTCTCCTGGAATCATCATATTTCTCGCATCCCCAACAGTCAATTTTCACTCAAACTTTTCCATCTCCATCTCTTCTGCCATCCTGCAAATCTGCATGTAGACTCTTGGTTTCCTTCCTGATCTTCCTTCATTTTGGCAGTACAGCTGTGTGGTGGGTCAGAGCTCTCAGTGGATCTCAGTAATAAACTGAAGAGAATTACGAATAGTTTTAGCATCTCTTTATCTCTGTTAGGTAAAAATTAGAATTTAATTTATTCAGAATTTAAAGAACAAGTACCAATTATTTTCTGCTCTCGTTATTTAGCCAGCACATCTGCTGATTGTTAATAAATGTAATTAAAAGGTACGGATTGAAAAGTAAAAGTGACAAAAAAAAATATTTTTCGTAATATACAAATGACGAATTTTCGTGGTTTCAAGTTTCATGGCTATTGGTGATTGTGAAATGACAAATGTGCGTCATGCGGGCGAATATATGTTGACAGAAGATCTCACTCTGCTGGCCATTATACCTCTTTTACCTGCTCATTTGCCTCATTTCCAAACTTCTTTGTTGTTCACTTTGCTACTTCCTGGAACTTCCTTCTTCAACATGCTCCTCCCTTATTCACATTCCACATTTAAAACCCTCCTACTCCAATCGCTATTCACAAAATAGTCAAATACTCATTGACCATGTGTTATGTTACAATGATTTATTCTCATTACTCAGATATTATTTATGACTCTGAACATGTATCACTTTTCTTGCAATTATAGCTCTGTTTGTCACTATATATAGCATTTCCAAGTCAATTTCAACCTTTTCCAAATCAAATTAAACTTTTTCCAAGTCAAATTCAACCTTTTCCATTTCAAATTAAACCTTTTCCATTTTTAATTCAACCTTTACGTCACTGCATTTCGGATTATTTAAGTTTTTCGGGTTTATTCGATATGAAGGTGTATTCTTATGTTTCCGGGACCATAAATTATGAAAATGACCTCCATTTTAAGATTGCGCCACTGCGTTTTGACTTATTTAAGTTTTTCAGATTTTTTCCATATAAGGGTGTATTCCTTAGTAGCAAATACATTTTTTACCATTCTTTATTTATTTTGTATATAGTTTCATTTTTTGTTTATAGCTAATTTACTTAATATATTTATTTAATTTAACAGATCTTTTTGCCCGAAGCAATTGTTTTTGTCTGTATTACTTTAGTATTCTAAAGGGCCTTTATCCCAGAATCATGATATTTTTCTACTCAATTCTGTTAAAAATATGTTGTTGTACCTGATTGTGCGATATATAATGTCTGTTATAACAATGTTTTACAGGAGGTGTTTGCAGTCACCATCGCGAGCAGTTGATTGTGTACTTTGCCCTAATAATGGAGGGGCATTTAAGCAAACTGATCGCGGTCATTGGGCTCATGTTGTTTGCGCTCTTTGGATTCCAGAAGTTCGATTTGCTAATACAGTAAGTTAAATCTACAAGGATGGTCTGAAAAGATTCCGACCTAACAAAAATACAAGTAATTTTTTCTGAAAAAATTTCTTTTTTCAACATAGTCTCCTTGTAACTCTACACACTTCTCCCAGCAATACTTTATCTCTGTAACTTGTTCAAAAAGTACTTGGTGTTTTTCTCTGCAAAATAATTGTTCATGGTGATCGCCTCTTCATTTGATGAAAATCTTTGTCCTCAGAGTGCAATTTTTAGACAAGGAAATAAAAAAAAGTCGCTTGGGGCTAGATCTGATGGGTAAGGCGGATGGTCAAGCAGTTCGAAATGTAATTTGTGGATTTTCTCCAAGGCAACCTCTGAGGTGCGTTGTCTTGGTGAAACAGGATTTTCTTTTTCTGCAAATGTGGCTGTTTTTCCACAAATTCTGCCTTGAGCTTATCAAGTAATGATGCGTATTATGTTCCTGTAATGGTTTTTCTTGTTTGAAGATAGTCGATTAAAATAACTCCATGACTATCCCAAAAAACAGTCGCCATCACTTTCCCAGCCGAGAAAACAGTTTTTGCATTTTTTGGAGCCGATTCCCCGTTTGCAGTCCACTGTTTGGACTGTATTTTTGTTTCGGGCATATATTGGTGTATCCAAGTTTCATCTACAGTAATTAATCTGCGCCAAAACTCGGATTTATTGGGCCTAAACTGCGCCAACAGAGTGTTGGAAATGTTCATTCAAACACATATTTGGCAACATGGCACCTAACGTGTGGACAGCTTTCTCATATCTAAATTTTGATTTAATATGTAAAAAATACGTTCCTTAGACATGTTCATAACCTCTGCTATCTCTCACTTTAATTCGGCGGTAGTCTAGCTCTATTTGGTGAACTTTGGCAATGTGTTCGTCTGTAGTTGCAGTTTTTGGACGTTCCGAATTTAAATGTGGCCGTAAGAGCTCGGGAGACAGCTCTTACGGCCACGTTTAAATTCAGCTGCCCAAAATTTCACTGTGGTAAATGATGGTGCAGAGTCCCCATACAGAGAATCCAAATCTTTGATTTGCGTAGGCGTAGTGTCTTTCAAAAACAATTATTTAATGACAGCCCGATACTCAATTTTGTCCATTTTCATAAAAACACTCACATCAACTCACTCAAACGACTTACATAAAAACTGCGTGTCCAAAATGGCGGAAACTTTGATGGGTAACTTTCAACAGATGAATAACGAAATCCACTTGCTTTTATATACAAGTGCTGCCATCTTCACATTGTGGTCGGAAACTTTTCAGACCACCTTTGTATCTATGTATGCTATCTTTTACATATATGTATATATATATATATATATAACTTTTGGCCAAGCATGGTGGTGTGGGCATGGTAAACAAATTTGGTTCTGAATGGATTAATAGAATGTTTAATAAATTTGTATGTACACCGTGAATTTATTCATTATGCATTGCTTAGGTTACCATACGATTTTTATAATTACAGGTTTTTCTTGAACCAATTGACAGCATTGAAACGATACCTCCTGCTCGATGGAAATTGACCTGCTATTTGTGTAAGCAAAGAGGTGTTGGAGCATGTATACAGTGCCATAAAACGAATTGCTACTCAGCTTTTCATGTAACTTGTGCACAACAAGCTGGACTGTACATGAAGATAGATGCTGTTCGTGATGCTCAATCAAGTTAGTTTTTCTGAAATATGTCTTGTTATAACTATCAGTATTATTTAATAGATTTGTGTAGGTTTAATGAATGTTATACTGTTATACTGTTAATAATGTTATACTTTATAAATCAGAAGTTTATAAAGTGCAGTTTTTTTTTCTATAAAAGATAAGTGGAAAGTTCTTTTCACAATTTTTTTAGGGTCACATGTGCTCTTTAAGGACTTAGTCATTTTTTGCTGTGAATAATTTTTGTTGGTCTTGTTTTCATTATTATCAGAGGTTACTGTGTTAGTGTAATCTAATCAATCCATATTCTACTCAGATTGTGTTGGCGCCTATTCTACAAAAATAGGAGGAAGCAGGCTTGCCTTCTGTCCTCACCTATTTCTATTTTTTCTTTTTTTCATCTTTCATTGGTTAAAAAAAAATCAATGTTATGCAATTTCAATCCACTTGTTATGGTCTTTAATATGGAAAAATTGTTTCTGCAATAAACTTGCCAGATGCTCAGTGGAGATGGTAGGGTTCGCAAAAAAAAAAGAAGAAAAATGATTAAGAGTCAATTAAATATTACAAACTATCTAACAGGCGCCACGCTATTTAATTTTTTAAATTTGGAAAATAGCGAAAACCATACAAAATAAAAAAAAAATGTAATTAAAAAAAAAGGTTTGGACGAGGAGTGAACTACGAACTTGGAACCTATGGGTTTAAAGAAATATGTTAATTATCCTCAAAAACCTATCAAACCTTCTTACTCAGTTAATATTAATTTTCCCTAATCCCTCAAATAGGGTTTTACAATTCCTTATTAAACCTTAAAAAAAACTACATAAAACGTGAAAAGAAACTGAAGAAAAAGAAGAAAATAAAACTGGCTTTTATTAATACTAATGATGAATTTACTTATTTCTATTGTGGACATAAGAGACAAAATATTTCCGAATATATATATAAGAAAGTCTAAATTATACTGGGCAGCAAGATGTCGGATGGCCAAATGACCAACGACTGGCATAAGAAAAAAAAAAAATAATAAAATAAATAAATAAAATAAAAAAAAAAACTTATTTCTATTGATTTAAATAACTGTTAAAGGAAATGAAAATTATGAACAAGAAATTAGATTTATAAGAAAACAAAGAAAATACAATTAACTTTAATTATAATAAAAAAAAGAATATAAAATCATTATAGAACTAAACATACTATACAATGAACCAATTACAAATATTTGAAAAACAAAATAGATAGGAAATAAAAACTTATAGATACATATTTACAAAATCTCAATGTCGAACTTTGTCCAATTGGCACATTGAGTTATCTGAGGAAGCGGGAACTTACTCCAGCTAGCGTCATCAGTGTCTCCCCAGTTCACCTCCTCAAGCTGTGAAAATGTTCATTCACCAACGTGTAAAATCAAGCGGCACTCGTCGCTGATAATCATAGGTTCTTGGAGAGGAAAAGAAAAATCTGGTGTACACCATAAAACTAAATTATTTCACACACAAAAATCCTTAACGTGTCTCAACACTCGCGAGGTTCCGCCATCTTTCCCTAAACTGTCCTTTGTTCTTCTCCCAATCATCTGTTGGTTTTTCGGATCCAAAATAAAATTAATACTTAAAACTAGGACTGATTATAAACTATAATAAATACTTATTATTAAAAACTAATACTAATTATTTAATTTATTTTTAGCTAACCCTCTTTGAGATAAAACTAACAATTATTTTACGAACTAATTTTTTTTTTGTATTTTATTTTTCGTCACAAACTTATTACTCTTGTTAGTAGTTTGAATTTATAAGTGAATCTCATGTTTTTTTGAACTATCTTGTGCTGTTGCTTATGCATGTCTAGCTTGGAAAATTGAAATTTGGTTTATTGATATAGATCTAAACTTTGTAAAGAAACTTTTGTTGATTTATCAAAAAGAATTACAATACATAAAACTAACCTTGTAAAATCTGACTGTTTTAACTGTTATGTTTCTGGCTATCCGCTTTGCGAAGGCAATTAGTGGGTTCCAGAAACTGCATTTATGAGTATTTAATTACATATATTCTTATTTCTATCAGTTCCGAAAGGGAATCGATCTATTTAAAAATATACTAATTATGTATTATATATTTATACTGAATAAGAAAAACTTTTCCCTGCTGTGGTATATTAGATTGATTTATAATCCATATCAGATATCCTTTTCATGGATACCGTGTTACAAATTTACAATAATTGGTAATTGGTTGACTGTCGTGGATAATGAAGAGAAGAATAGTTGGGGTGGTCAGTCAAAAAGGAAGGCAAAAAATAAATGATAATATTTATTTTTTACATATGCCGACGTTTCGACCTGAAGTTCAGACCTTCATCAGGGCTAAGAAAATAACCAGATAACAAGGTATGAGAAACATAAGTAGTGATAGTAAAAAATTATTTAAAAAAGTTATTTTCTTAGCCCTGATGAAGGCCTGAACTTCAGGTCGTAACGTCGGCATATGTAAAAAATAAATATTATCATTTATTTTTTGCCTTCCTTTTTGACTGACCACCCCAACTATTCTTCTCTTCGTTACAAATTTACTATTATTATTTATATATCTAATTGGTGGCATGCAGGAAAAATGTTAAAAATCAAGTTTAAATCCAAAAAGGAATATATTTGTGATTTTAAACATCATGGAAATAATACATGCAAGAGGCTAATGTAAACATGACTAATTGCTCTATTATTTTATAGATTGTCAACACAGATTTCCAAAGTTTTCAATGGATATTATCACTTAGCTGGTTATATGGTTGAATCTTCCACTACTGTTTTCTTCATTTCCCTGGTGCCACTGATACTCTTTCTACTGTCTCGTGTCTTCTCAGTGAGTCCGTTATTCCTTTCTTGCTAGGCATTGCTTCCAGTTTCTCTCAAGAGCTTCTCCAGCTTACTTCTCCTTTAACAGACTGTTTCTCTCCGGGTATCTCTCAAACATTCTCTCCTTCTATAAACTTCCTCAGTGTCCCATTCATCCAATCTAAAAATATTTTCATTTAAATTTTCTCCACTCTTCTTTTTCAGGCTTTCATATTGGTTGAATATTTGTTGTAGAGTGGAACTACTCCTTCTACTTTTCTGTAGAAGTGTTTGCTAATATTATTTCTATTTGGTATGCAACGCCTTTTTTTTTTATCCTTCAAACAGGCCTGATTTTATCTTTATTACTCCCTAAGCGGATTGCTGGCCGAAAACTATCTCAATGCAGTTTAAGATCAGTTACAACACCCTGCCCGAAACCTACCGAAATTTCCTGTTTTAGCACTGTTTAAATTTGTCTTTGCTAGACTGACTACTTATTTTTAATTCCTGAGATATATTTTAATTCGCACACCATCATCTATGTTACATAGCATAACGTAGTAACGCCCAAGCTTTGAATCACATACTTTAAGTGACTGAATGTTTGTACCTTATACAGAACAGGGGCCATTAGCCAACAAAGTGAAAATGTACAATATACCATCAGAAAGCCATACAAGAAGGCCAGAAAGTGGCGAAACTACTATTCGTGGCCATACACTGTTCTGAATTGGGTGAAACAACTAAAATTGAACTGCTGGTGCTGGGTTTGTAGTTATTCCAGTGACATTAGATTCTTAAATATCTTCTTCAACATCACTGTTTATTAGACCTTTTTCTGATCCTGAAACATTCTTTCAGTTCAGGATTGATTTATCATGAATCTGTCATATTATTATTTTACTACTGAATATACTTTATGATTATTTAAAAAGAAGAAAGTTTAATTTAAGTACTAATGTTCTCCTTATAATTAACATTAATAAAAAAATATTTTCCAGCTTTTAAGTGAGCCTTCATTAATTTTATTTCAAACTTTTGGATCATTAACCAGTATGTTAACATTATAAGCCTATATTATAATCCACTTTGTAGTTTTCTGTTGATTAGTTGTAGTAAGAATAAATCTCTAATTACAAATATTTTTTAATTTTTTAGCTGCTGCTGAAACTGAAAATGCTCCAGTTTTGGTTCACAAAATAGCTTATTGTGGTACTCATACACCAGCTGATGCTGAAAAGCCTAAGGCTAAAGCTCAGAAAAAATTGTTGACTAAAGCGACTTCTGCACCTGTGATATCCATTCCTACTATTCCTCCAGAAAGGTATTATATCATTTGATTGCTATTATTATTTCCTTTCCTATTACTTCAAGTAGTTGTATGATGTTAAATCTATTGATTTGAAGTTAATCCATGGAACTATTTATGAATAATATTTATAGTAGATCTTATTGTTTAATTAACAGTCTGTTGATATCGTTACCTGTAACGAAAATCAGATGTTCTTGACCTTAAAAAAAGATAATATTAAATTAAACTTTTATCAAATACAAAATTGTTAGTTTACTTTTGGGGTATGAATTCCTAATGAATAAATATTCATAATGAAATTTGTTGTCAGCTGGGAATTAAATGTTTTATGTTAATATGTGATGAATGAATCCATGAAAACATGATTTGATTTTATTCTGGCACTATTTTATTTTAAGTCTCTCTATGAATAATAACAATGTTCAGACTTAATGAACATTAGTCTGACATGATAACTATAAAATGATACTTGTCACTCAACTGTTAGTAGTAACTTTAAATGAAATGATGGATTTGATTAAAGAATTTGCTCTCAAAATAATGTCTAATAAAACAAAATATTGGTTAGTTGTAAAAATTGCTAGAATATTTTATAACAGGTAGTGAAGTATAGATATCTGGATTCTTTCTAAAAAATATGAAATTCTAGAGGAAATTAAAGCTAGGTTAACAATGGGGAAAGTTTTGTTGATTGTACTATAAGAAGAAAATACTTGTAATATTAATATTACTCTGTCACAAAATTAATTATTTTGGAGTTAATGTCTAGAAACTTTGAAGTAATAATATATAGTACTAATATATTTCTTACATTTTTCTATGATGAAATAATAATATATAAGACATTATACTTAGTTTTTTTATGAATGTGAAATGTAGCTGCTTAAGTTCTAATTAATATTCTTATGGTTTTTGGAAATAAAATATTATATTGAATATAAATTTGTATAGAAAAATAAGTTGTTTGGAACATAGGCAACTACATCCTGTATTCGGTAAGTATAATTCATAATAGCGCCTTGAAAACTAAAATGGGCTTATATTTATAAAGTTGTTGGAATGGATAAGAAATGAAAGAAAAAATAAGTTATCAAGAAACCCAATGATATATGTTTAAGTGGTAGACTGATGTATGGATGACATTATTTCATTAGGTTTGATGACTGAATATTTGGTTGGCCCCTAATTGCCCCCACTCCATAACACTAGTCTTTTCATTCAAGCTATCTACTGATGTGCTGTAAACCATGATTTTTTTATGTTCATGAGAAAAAACATGTAATGCAACACTCTTATTTTACTTTCCTACCTATACTAGGTAAGGAAAGTATTGCGATCGGATCAAATTTCCGATATGCCGTTTTCGACGGATCTATATATTTCATGGTCCCCTGAGTCCGAAAAACACATTGTCTGACACTGTGCCAAGATTTTCTCGGGAACTACTGAACTGATTTTGTTGCTTCTTTTTTTATTTTGTAGGGTTTTGACTACTGATGCCCATGACACAAATTGAGTGCACAATAAATGAAAAACATGTTTTTCTATAGACTGAAGCACGAAAACGGCTCTAACGATTTTGATGAAACTTTCCTATAATGTTCTAATAATTATTCTTTCAATTTTTGTACATGGACTAAATTCCCGAAAAAAATTAGCAAAAAAAGTTAAAGAAAAGAAAAATGTTTTGAGGCCTAACTCGAAAGGTAATTAAATTACCAAAAAACAAAAAAAAAAAAAAAAATCATCGGAATCAAAGCAGTATTAGCAATGATACAGTGTATTCTATTTTCTACACATGTTTTAATTTATTACTTTCCTACCTATACTAGGTGTTGGGGCCCAGGGGTATTTCAAAATCGAAAATACAAACCTTTCCCCGCTGAGTTTCCTCAAAGGTGGGGATAATTCGAGCAAAATTAAATGGTGGGGAAGAAGGGAAAAAAATAGTGAAATGAGACCTGTAAAAGAGAAAAAAAACATGCACAACAAATAATGTAAAATAAAAAATTCTGTCAGTAAAAATGGAAAATAATAACTGTTCACAATATTTGTTATATTAAAATAAAAAGAGATGAAAATATGTATACCAATTTTGAAAACAAAACAAAATGAAAGAAATTAAAATGCACTGAAATAAACCCAAACATAAAATACAATATTCAGTGAAAATAAAAACAAATTGACCATAAAAAAATAAACAAAAAATAAACTTCTAAAATTAGAGAAAATCATCCAATAAAAATAATTCCAAGGAAAAAAATAAATTTAGCGAAAAAAAAATTTAACTAAATTATAAATGTCTTTTGGTAATGGTGAGAATAAAAAAAAATATTCCAGTTGGAGGTTTTGCTTCCAACGAGGTTACCTTGGTGTTCAACTAATGTCAAAGGCAATCAATGGTGAGGTAATCAATATGTATATCGATCTCAATCGATGACTGGCAATGGGACACAGCTGGGTTCTTCAAAATGGCACTAGGCTAGCGCAGGTGAGGTGAGACAGAAGCGGCTGGTGGGGTGGGGGTCTGATGATATCTGGCATAGACCCTATATCTATGAATGCTTGCTGCTGACTGTCATTTTACGGCAGTCTTATCGCAGTATTTATGTCTTAATCCTTAAGATTCAGTATTACTGCCGGTCTGTATATACAAATGCGATAAAATATATAAACAATATATACTGAAATATATTTTAGGGACACTATTCCTCAGCTTTTTACAAAAAAAAAACAATAATAAAATAAACATTTCATTATTAACATTTAAAAAGGGGTAAAGCAGTGAGAAAAAAAATAGTAATAAAAAATAAAGATATAAGTGTATGCGGCGTTAACACTAGGTAAGGAAAGTATTGCGATCGGGTCAAATTTCTGATATACTGTTTTCGACAGATCTATATGTTTAGCCTGTTTTTTTGAAAGGTAATGAAATTCCTTTCTTACTTCTTGCTTGGATTCGATCTCTGTAGATCATCATAATCTTCAAGTTGAGCTGTCCAATAGCTCTGAGCGACATATAATGAATTTCTTCTGAAAAATGAGCTATTTTGTGTAAAAAATTCTTCCTTATGCACTTTTAATAAAAAGTTTATCAAAGTCCCTCAGTTTTTTGTGAATTGTTTTCTGTTTGTTTTACTCCTGAATATTATTTAACAAAAAATTATCACATCCAAATTAGGAAAATTAAACTCTCTGTGATTCTTTATTTAATGGAGGCGTTTCCTCAACAGCCTCCACATTTTGCTATCAGTTTTAGTTTTCTTACAATGAATTCTGCCACGTAATTAAATACTTCATCTTAAAAAAGTAATTGGATGTATAAAATAGTCTAGACAATACATTTTAATATAGTTCCCCATATAATTTTATTAGTTTTCATTCTGTTATCAAGTTTTATTATATTATATTTCCATATTCTTAAAAAACTCTCGAGAATGTTGAATTTATTTCATTTATGGTGATTTTACTGATTCAATCCTGTTCTCAGAATATTTCATCAAAAGAGGGATTGCATTTGAACTTTGTGGTAAAGTCTTGTATCATTAGTCGTGCATGGGGAAAGCTCCCATTCTAAACTTGAATTTATTGCAACTAAGATTATTGTTCCAACCTCCTTTAGTACCTATCTAAGAGAAAGAAAGCCGCTCAATGGGATCTTAGACAATTTTATACATTGGGAAGTATTTCAGAATTTTGTTTCCTTCAACTTATGCCTCGTTGATTGTGATAGAACTTTCGACATCTAGTAAAAAGTAAGTTTACATCTTGCTTTCTGGAAAAACGGACTACCTATTTGATATTGAGAGGATTAAGAGCATGTTTGTAAGCAAGGCTTGTTTAGATTATTTCACTTAAGCTCACACACTAATTAATATAATTAATAAACAGTAGGAATTCGACATGAATCCAGTTTAATTAAAAATTAAATGATTTCTAGCAATGCTGAAAACTGAACTTTATCTCTTCAAAATGCTAGCATTACAGAACGAACGTGTTGGGATATCTCTATCAGGGTTATTGGAGTGGGGAGATGGTTTGATGATTCGTGCAAACAGACTTCTTGTAGACTTAGGTTTTGATTAGATTTAGTGGACAGAGGCATGCAATCAAACATTGCTGGTAGCATTGGCACCAAACCTCTATATTTGTTATAATAATAATAAGCATTGTTTTAGAATTCAAGAAATTGGTGCTTTAGTTAGTATGCCCAAAAAGAACCAATTCATCCAGCGACTTATTGCTTACTGGACATTGAAAAGACAAATGAGGAATGGAGTTCCTCTTTTACGGAGGTTACAGACATCTCATTTATCTCGGAGAGACAATCCTTCTGTTTTCGCCCACAGTGTTGATGACATTGTAAGTTCATTCTATACTCTTCTTTAACATTTTTTCTTAATTTCATTTTAAAAATGCTTTGGCTTTTAATAGTTTTAAGTTACAAATTTTTCATATACATTAAAGATTTTGTCTTGTGTGAAAGGTTTGGCTTTTGAACTTTTAATATATCTTTTACACATATGGTAACCAAAATTTGTATTATTAATTTAGTTTAAAATATAATTAAGAAATGATTTTCAAAGCCAATGACAAATTTTATAATTTATTCTTATTTCTTCACCATATAACTTAAAGTGTAATAAATTTCATTACTCTTGTTTATTTGGTTTAACATCATTAAGTACTCCATCTCGGGCAAGAAGAGTTACTTGTAGGTTGCCAGAGCTCTAGTTTTGGCTTGGATTTGCCTCGAATCCAACTTTGAGGCTTAACTTAAATTTTATTGTGGACCCAAAGAGTAAATTTTGGCCTTACCACTATGACTGGAATAGGTTACTAAAATGTATGGTAACTAGCCTTCCGTTTTCTAGTTGGAGTGCATTAAAACTAACAAAAAGCAATTCTTCTGTTACATAAGTTCTTTTATATACCATCTTTTGAAATTTTTAGAATTTGTTTAACTTTGTTGAATAAGGTGAAAATACTTGTACCAGATGCCCTGTTCCAGTCTATATTTGATTATAGCACTGAAATCTTGGAATGTGCGGAGAGACTGGGAGTTGATCAGGGCTACCGAAGTGTGAGATCTCTACGACAGTTGCTGAGAGAGAATTCTTTTCAAGAATGGGCCACTTGCAGGTGACAAGGTGTTGGAGCTAGAAATTTTAAAGCGACCCCAAAAGCTAATAAATATATATACCAGAAACAAGTACTTTTGGGTTCAGAATGGTCCAATGCCTTAAAACTTAACATCAGCTATGCACCGTTGTGTGGAGTCCCAGGAGCCAGTGGACAGTCGAAGGAAGTTGAGTCCCTCTGCCATTAAATGCGGCAGAGAGTCTGAAACACCAGCCAATGTGCTGGGAAAATGCCCCAACAAGCCCCTCCTCATAACACACCGACACCATAGGGTCAAATTTGAGTTGATGAGACTCCTTAGTGAAAGGGAATTCACATGCTTCGACAAGGTCTATTGTATTGATAGCGATGGCTCAAGATATGCGGATAGTTACATTCTCCAGGAGCGGAAAGATTTCACTGATCTTGGATCCAACTATTCGCTTTGAGAGCAATGGCCTCTAGTAGGTGAGTGAAGTAGAAAAAGAAAAGAAAAAATATATGATAAATGTATCCCTTTCCTAAAAGAGAAATTCTGCAAGATCTTTGGAGAGAGAGAGTTCACCATGAAATACCTCTGGTTTGGGTCTCATGGAATGATTCCTAAAAGGACCAAGGAGCTTCTTCGAGGAACTAGGTGTTGATGTCGGGGAGCTTGCAGTGTTGGCCAAGAGCATTATTTTTATATATCCTTTGGTATCATTTATCACCACATATATAGTAATTAAGGGTTAATTATGGATATTTATTATCATTTATTTGTTTATTCAATTTTAAATATTTTAACTAATCATATATTTTTGTCTCTGTTCATAGGATTAAGTTGTTGTGTGCATTCTAATTTTTTAATTTAGGAATTTTGGCATTCGAATATTTTTTTTCTATAAATTTCAGAGTTTGTGTTGTATCCGCTTCACCTAAATATATATATATATATATATATATATATATATATATATATATATATATATATATATATATATATATATATATATATATATATATGTATATATATATATATATTGTATAATAGTGATTATGTTGGTATAGTGTAGTATTAATATTGTATATGATGAGTGATATGGAAAAGGAGGAAAAGAATTTGTATATATATATATATATATATATATATATATATATATATATATATGTGTGATTCAAGTATAATGCTTGATATATTTGCTTGTATGTTCTTTGCAGCATTTTAAAGATTTCGGAGCATTTCTTTTCCACTATCTCATAGTTCTTAATTAAATTTTCATGTTTATATTTTACTTGACTTGTGTTTTCTCCATTTTTTGAGAATTTTGCTGCAGTAGTTCCAGCATTTTGTTCAGGATAATTGTTCTTTGTTTTTGAGAATCACTATAGAAAAAATTGATTTTTACCACAGAGCCATTTAGGGATTTCTCACTTTGGTGAATTTTGTGAGTATCCAGACCTAGTTTTCATAAGTTGCTAGTGTTTCTTCTATGTTGCATCCATAGTGCATTCCTTTTAGCACTAACTTAGAGAGTATCACAACAATTATAAAATATTTTATTTACTGTGTGATTTATGTTGATGTCTTTCATTCTGGATCAGCGCTATAATCAAATATAGACTGGAACAGGGCATCTGGTACAAGTATTTTCACCTTATTCAACAAAGTTAAACAAATTCTAAAAATTTCAAAAGATGGTATATAAAAGAACTTATGTAACAGAAGAATTGCTTTTTTGTTAGTTCTAATGCACTGCAACTAGAAAACGGAAGGCAAGTTACCATACATTTTAGTAACCTATTCCAGTCATAGTGGTAAGGCCACTATGTGCCAAAGAATATGCCATCAGATTTAATGTAGGCAATTAAGTTCACATATAGAAATGCCAAAGAATCATAAGGATTAATGACAAGGAATCCAAATCATTACTTCTTGACTTAGGGGTCATATCTGTGGACAGCCTTAGTCCTCTCCTATTTATGGTTTTGATGGATTGACCTACAGGAAAAGACTTGTGTAGCCGGCTATGAATCTCCTATTAGGAATATATCCTGAGGATTTGAGGTAACATAGGCAAGACCCTTGGAAAAATTAAGCAGCTGAGCAGCACCCGGTAAAACTGGCAGCATTGGATCGATGCCCCTATACGCTAATAGGCTTGAAGAAGAAGAGAAACAAAAGAAAAAAAAATTACAACTGTATTCATACAATACAACATGAATATGTGAAATAAGAGTATAGACAAAGATGATATTAACTTTTGAAGGAACTACCACCCATTAGTATCACTTCTATAATATTCTAGGTTAGGAGGTCCTATGGCTATCTTATTTTCAGATCTCTCAGAGCGTTATCTATTTCTCTATTTCTGTTTCAAATTAATAAAGCTTTGTCAATTGGTTTGGAAATGGCTCTGAACCTCAGCTCAAAACTGTTCTGATAAGTGTTTTGTAGATCCTCATTTTTGTATTATTTTGACATAATCCCTTTTATGTGCTCATTAACTCCAAAATAGGTGTGGCTATCTATTTATTATCATTAGCAAAATTATTATTTCTTGGATCAACCAGGGCCTGTTAAAAGTATATTGTCTACTTTTTAATATAGAATTGGTCAATTTCAATTCTTTGCCATTGCAATCTGTGGAAGTCACAGTCCTGTTTATGAAGCAATTTTTCAAATATATAATTGATTTTTATGTGCTCATTAACTAAAATATAGCTGTGACTGTCTATTTATTATTCTTGGCAGAATTATTATTTCTTGGACCAACCAGGGCCTGTTACAAGTAAATTTTGTATACTTTTTAATATAGCATTGGTTAATTTCTCTTCTTTGGCATTGCAATCTGTAGAAGTCATTGTCCAGTCTGCAAAAATATTATATATATAATTTTATTTGCATTCATGCTCGACCAAGTTTTGATTAATTTTCTTAGATAAGAAAATTTCCTTTCATCACTACTCTGAATTTGTTAAATGTGTAATTAAAATTAACTGACAGAATTGGTTATGCATGTTACCTTGATTAGAATCTCATTAATAATGAAAAACCTGATTTTCTTTAAAGGCATGTGTATGGCAATAATTGAGCCTTTCAGTTGACAGAATGACTAACTCCTATTTCAAAATTTTTTAATAAAGTCATTTTATTGATATTTCTAGTTGGAAAATTTATAATATCTGTAAGTAGTAAGTTGATTCCAGAGTAGGTGATTGCAGTGTTGAAATATAAAACTGAGAAGAAAGGTATCAATTTTCCCACTAAAAATATCACTAAAATTAATAATAAAAAATGTTAAAAATGAAGTTAGTGATTCTGTCAACTGAAAGGCTCAATTCAAAGATTAAAAATCAATCCATTATTTAGGACTGCCATTGTTATTTATTTTTTTAAACATAAATAAATTAAGAGATGAGAAGGAACTAATGTTATTATACTGTAAAATAACTGTGAAAGTTGCATGTCCTTTTATATTTGAAGTTTACTTATTCTTTTTAAATTAAAGATATGTTTTTTTACCTTGTTTCCACATTAATGAATAATTTAAATTAAATCAACGGCTTAGCTGTTACTCATATTGTTTCTGAATGCATTGATGTATTATTTATTGGATTTCACTCATAATTTCTCCAATTATGATAATGTTTGATTTTCTATAATTTTTTTATAGGCCGAATTAAAAAATCAACTAAAATATTGGCAATGTTTACGTCAAGATTTAGAGAGAGCCCGACTTCTTTGTGAACTGGTCCGCAAAAGGGAAAAGCTAAAAAGGGAGCTAGTTAAAGTGTAAAGTATCTTTTTCTATGTATTTCTTTCAAGTAGCAGGTTGTAATAATTATCAACTAGGAAGTTTAATTGAAATAGAAATTCTGCTAAAAGAATTGACTAATACATCAAATTTGTGTCTGTTTCTATTGCAATTTTTATTATTATTGCAGTTTTTTGTTTATTATTTGACTGCCTTTGTGACATTAAAGTGTTTTTATTGTATTATAAATAGTTATTTATTGATACAATTGTAGTAAAATAAAGTAGTACTTGTCTTTGTATAAAAGAAAATATAGTATGTAATTATAAAAATGCAAATGTAAGTAAATGTGTTTAGTTTATCAGAATGGTTTATGTAATTCTATTAGATAAGGCTTCTTTCACTTGGCTATATTTGTTTCTGTCTTATTCACTTAAGAGGGAGCGGTCCTTGTTGTTCCCTGATGTCTACTTTAATTTACTGATTGTTTGACTAAGGAGTGTGCATCTGTGCATGTTGTATGATTAATTATTTGAGATAATTCAATATTTTTACATTTTTCAGTAAGGCGCAATGTCTAGAAATGGAACTTTGTCCCCTGGTTAGTTTCTTACGCCGTCTTTTGGATTTAATTAGAGCTCGAGATACTGGAGAAATTTTTATTGAGCCAGTTGATCAAACAGAAGTTCCTGACTATAGTGATGTTGTTAAGAATCCAATGGATCTTTCTACGATGAGAACAAAAATTGATACATTCCAGTATAATACATTACAAGAATTCGAAAATGACTTTTATCTCATGATCAATAACTGCTTAGCATATAATTCTAAAGACACAGTATTTTACAGAGCTGCTTTAAAAATGAGGGATCAGGTATGTGTATTTGTTTTATCATACAATGTTTTTACTATGCATTTTTACTAAAATAATATTAATATTAATTCAAATGAATGTCTTGAACAAACTGTATGAGATTTGTTTGGTAATTCACATAACAGTAAAGAAGAAAAATTGACTATTAATCGAGTAATTCAATAATGAAACCTTAATATACTCACCCTGTGACAAAGTTCATTTCTATTTTCCTTTTTGACCCCAAAAGGCTCCTTGGAATCTTCTGTTGTGATGTTCTTCACACGCCTCCTCATTTCTTTTTTGGTGATCTCCACCTCACCCAAAGCACAATTTGGCATTTAGGAAACAAGAAAAAGTCACATGATGCCAAATCAGGTGGATAAAGGGGGTGTTCCATCACATAATTAAATTTGAGGCCAAAAACTCATATCTTATTTGCCTTCTTACTTGCTGGGCTCTTAAGCATCTCAGTTCTCTGCACTGTTTTCTTTCTTCAGCTGAAAGCTTAATAAAGTAATGGACACGACGAATCTGATGTGGTGACAGTGGTTGGCGCTCAGTTGAGAGTTCATTAGCGAGAACCGATCAGAACTTTGTAATTGATATGGGTTTATCTTTTTTTCATGTTAAAGATGGGCCAAGAATTGAGCATTAACCTTCTAAACATTATCTTAATCACCACCTCACCCATATATAAAATAAACTCACCCATATATAAAAGAAAATATATACTGTCCTGTCACAGCAGGAATATATTTCGGTCGCCGGGGAAAGATACTGTAGGGAAATCATTTTTATCAGTCTAGTACAGTATCGGTCCCCGGTGTCCTACAGCTTTATATCAGATATAATTATTTATGTTTGTATCTTTACATCTGTCCAAACCCAATTCAAATATAGCATTTCCAAGTCAATTTCAACCTTTTCCAAATCAAATTCAACCTTTTCCAAGTCAAATTAAACCTTTTCCATTTCAAATTCAAACTTTTCCAAGTCAAATTCAACCTTTTCCATTTCAAATTCAACTTTCGATTTTTGTCAATTTTCGATTTTTTTTCGAAATGAAGGCCACTTACTATATTATCAAAGGCTACTTACTATATTATTTATGTTTTGAAAAATACAAAAAAAATTTTGATAACGCGGTTGCATCTCCATTTATTTTACCATTTTAGACTTTTTCAGTGTAATATTTCTATGTCATATTCAATTATTTCCAACTCAAATTCAACCTTTTCCAAGTCAAATTCAAGCTTTCCAGATCAAATTAAACTTTTTCCTAGTCAAATTCAACAATTTCCATTTAAAATTAAAACTTTTCCAATTCAAATTCAACTGTTTTCATATCAAATTAATGTTTTAATTTTTTGTAAATTTTATATATATTTTTTTAAATAATGGCCATCCCCTCCCCCCCTCCAATATGAAAGTCTATTATTATGCTCTCCTAAGTAGAATTTTCACTTAAGGATATCGATTTATTGTACCCATTCGGATTTATTACGGACTAGTATTATGCTGTCCTGTACCTAGTTTTTAAAATAACCTCCATTTTAAGATTACGTGACTGCGTTTCGACTTATTTAAGTTTTTTTTATTTATTCGATACAAGGGTGTATTCTTATGTTTTCCGAGCCGTAAATTATGAAAATAAGCTCCATTTTATGATCAGACCACAGCGTTTTGACTTATTTAAGTTTTTCGGATTTTTCTCATATAAGGGTCTACTTTTATGTTTCCGGAGCTGTAGATTTTGAAAACGCCCTCCATTTTATGATTAGGCCACCGCGTTTCGATTTCTTTAAGTGTTTAGAATTTGTTTCATAAAAGGTCGTATTCTTATGTTTCCGGAGTTGTAGATTTTGAAAATGACCTCCATTTTAAGATTACGCCACAGCGTTTCGATTTCTTTAAGTGTTTCGATTTTTTAGCATAAAAGAGTGTATTATTATGTTTCCGGAGTCGTAGCTTTTGAAAATCACCTCCATTTTAAGATTACGCCACTGCGTTTCGACTTATTCAAGTTTTTCAAATTTATTCAATTTAAAGGTCTACTTTTATGATGCCAGAGCCTTAGTTTTTAAAACGACTTACGTTTTAAGATTAGGCCATTTTTCCTTCGAATAAAAAACAAAACACAAAGGATTAATTTATTTTTCAATAAATAAATAAAAATATTTAATCGAAATAAATAAAATATGTATTGTCTCATTTTTAATTTAATTTTAGTTATCTAATGTTGTGGTCTCCTGTAACAAAATTATAAGATTTCGAACAATTAGCTGAAAAATCTGAATACGGTAGGTTAAATTTATTACCAGTTGCTTTTTGGCTTTTCAGTTTGTATTCTGTGGTTAATTCAACTTTGGCTTCATAATATTTATTTATTTATTTATTCATACTCGAAAACATATTGATGAAACTTTGTATTGAAAAAATCCAAAATGAAGCCTAATTAATCGAGATGCAGAGGCTTAATCATAAAATGGAGATTAAATATTAGATAAATTTAAATATTAAAGATTAGAATTTCAATACGTCTCCGGTAACATATAAGTAGATCCTTATACCGAAAAAGTAAAAAAAAAACTTTTATAATCCAAAACACAGTGGCATAAACTTGAAATGGGGTCATTTACAAAATGGGAGAAATCTACTGCTCCAGAAACATAAAAGTATACCTTTATATTTGATAAATTCAAAAAACTTAAATAAGTTGAAATGCAGTGTCGTAATCATAAAATAGAGGTCATTTTTAGAATCTACGGTTCCGAAAACATAAAAGTAGACCTTTAAATTGGATAAATTCGAAAAACTTAAATAAGTCAAAATGCAATGGCGTAATCATGAAATGGAGGTAATTTTCAAAATCTATGGCGCTGGAAACATAAAAGTAGACATTTAAATTGGATAAATTTGAAAAACTTAAATAAGTTAACACGCAGAGGAGTAATCATAAAATGGAGGTCATTTTCAAAATCTATGGCTCAAGAAACATAAAAGTAGACCTTTATATTGGATAAATTCGAAAAACTTAAATAAGTCAAAACGCAGCGGCGTAATCATAAAATGGAGGTCATTTTCAAAATCTACAGCTCCGGAAACATAAGAATACACCCTTACATCGAATAAATCAAAACAACTTATTTAAGTCGAAACTCAGTGGCGTAATCTTAAAATGGAGGCCATTTTCAAAATATACGGCTCCGGAAACATAAGAATACACCCTCATATGAAAAAAATCTGAAAATCTCAAATAAGTCGAAGTGCGATGGCCTAATCTTAAAATGGAGGTCGTTTTCATAATCTACATAAAAGTAGACCTTTATATTGGATAAATTCTAAAAACTTAAATAAGTCAAAACACAGTGGCGTAAACATAAAATGGATGTCATTTTCAAAATTTACGGATCGGGAAACATAAAAATATACCCTTATATCGAATAAATAAAAAAAAAACTTAAATAATTCGAAACACAGTTACGTAATCTTAAAATGGAAGTTGAATTTGATTTGGAAAAGGTTGAAATTGACTTGGAAATGCTATATTTTTAAAGATAACCATTTTAAAGACTTTTTAAGATAGGCAAAATTTGAAACAATCCCGGCCACTTGGTATTCGAGACAAATATCGGAACCCGGGGACTGTAACTGCAGCTAACGTGTTAAAGTGGAAGTAACAAGGTCTTTATTGCCTATTTTTATTGAGTGGTTTGTTTTATTTTATCCCCAACAAATAAAGATAATTTTATACTTTATAGTTGTGATTTCAATCAAATTTTAGTCCCCATTCAGTAATGTGACATTTTATAGTAATTGGACTAAAAATAAATATTTTCGCAGCCAAAACTTCCTCTTACATTATATTCTAATGTAGTCTTTACTGTTTAAAATATTAATTTGAAAGACTGAAGGGTTACCCATGAATTGATTTGGGTTTAGTGATTTGTAAGATTGATATTTTTAATTTTGCAGTATTTAGTTTTATAATGTTTCCAGGGATTATGGGCTTGGTTTTTGTTCAATACTACTTCCCTCAGACTGTCTGAGAACATTTAAGCTGTTAATGAGTTATTTAGATTGATTTTTTCTGTTTCCCAAAAAAATATATAAAAAATATATTATAGGCTTGCCAGGAATTTCCCCATTGCCTGGAAGCTATATTGGATATTTCCTTCTACAGCTATTCTTTAAATATAGAAGAAAAGTTCCATTCAATAATATATTTATTTCATCTGTTTACTGTTTAGGGAGGTGCCTTATTAAAGCAGGCTCATATAGATTTAGAAATATCAGGTATTGATACTGGTCATATTTCAATGCCATTTCCTGAGTCAGAAGATAACGATAGTGAGCAAGAGAATACAAAAGATAACAGTGATGGAAACGAAGAAGAAGATAGTTCTGAAAAGATCACTCTTCTTAACAAAATTGAAGGCTTGAATGCTTTTGATACAGAATTAATGAAGTTCACCAAAGATCAGTGCTCCATGGTTTGTAATATATTATAAAAAGTTTCCCTTGTTATCAGTAATTGTATTAGCAACATAATTATCAACTCTTTAACTGCTAAACTTTTTGTAAATCTCATATAATTTCTAGTCCTATGGCATGACAGCTATGAATTTCTTGGCATCTTGTTTCTAGTTTTATTCTTTTTTTCTTTTTTTTCTATTTTATTATTCTGTACCGCTATTATTTCTGCAACATAAGTTTGTTTTAAGTATTTTAACATGGGTAATACTTTACTTGAGTGACTGACTAGATTTTAATTTAAGTGTTTTGTGTTAATATGTTCTAATAGTTTTACTCCAAAGAATAGTTTATTCCATAACCTTGTTATTATGTTTTCTTTAAAGTGTTCATCATTTATTTTCGTTTACTTTCCATTTGATGTAATGTAGAGCACTGCAATTTTAGTTCTTGCTTTTTGATAACATATAGTTATCCATAACTATAGAATTAAAGCTTTTTTTAAAATACATATTTTAGGATTTGTTTTTGTTTATATTAGCTTCATTCTATGCATGATAAGCTTCTACATTAAATGCTTGTTTTTCACCATTAACTGTAACAATTTGGTTATCAGGGAATTTTAAGGTAAATAATGTTTTTTTTTTTATTTATGTTGTTTTGTTTTTTTCTTTTTTCTTCCTAACATTTTTTTCTTTCTGAAAATAACATGAACATAACATATATGTATATTAAAAAATCTTCATTTTCATGGAATATTTCTATTAAAACTCTGTTAGTATTGGCACTGTGATCTATACTTATAATTGCTATTGTCATATTGTGGTGATACCAGTATGTTGCAATGATTTATGTATCTTCTTCAATATGATTTTATCAAAACCTTTTATATATTGAACAAATAAACAAAAAAAAAAAATCTGCTTTTCTTGTTAATTGTTTCTTTTACAATGAGCTCATTAACGACTAATGATCTTTTTAGTTGGAGTTAAGATTACTAATAGTACTTACATGATACAAAAAAAATCAACAAACATCCAAATATATATGCATTCAAAAGATAGAATGGTTATTAAAATTGGATAAGAAACATCGAAGTCATGAAAAATGATGTCTGAAGATGCTCTTATAAGTTTTTGTTTTGTGAAATAATACAATATCATATTTGTATTTAAGGGAGTGGGGTGGCTCAGTGGTAGGGTACTGAGCTTCCAATGCAAAGGTCCCAAGTTCGAACCCCGCCTCATGGCAGAAAATTTATTTATCTGTTTCATTGGCCGTGGGGCGACCCTGGGTCGGGAGACCCTCCTGGGGCACACCCAGCCTCTATAAAGTGGGTACCCTTAATTAAATAATTAGTTAAGGGGAAAAACCTGGCGGTTGAGCGTGATCTTGGTCAAATCACCTCCTTGCACAACCGTTGACGTAATAGAAGCAGTGCTTTCCCTAAATAGTACTGAACCCAAGACCCTTCATAGGTTGTAGTGGTACAAGTTTCATATTTGTATTTAAATTTAAAAAGGAGAATGAGATGAAAAATCATAAAAACAATTCACATTTTTTTAAACAGTAATTTTTGTTATATATTGGTAATACAGTAGAACCCTAAGTAACCTGTGGTTATAAGAAAACAAGAACAAAACCAAAATAAATCAATTTTTTAAACAAAATTGCCTAGTTTCAGCATTTAGGTTATCATCATAACTAAATTATTTTTATTAAAAAGTCTCAAGCTTATAATAGAAAACGTTTTTATCTTGATCTGTGAACTTATGGGGGTATTTATACATAAACAATTGATTTTTAAAGGAGAATCCTTATTCTGTATTAATTTTACATTAAAATGAAAAATTTGTTGCTTAAATTACAGACGATTAGTTGTGACATATTTTCCCGGAAAGGTTTTAGATAGAAGCTATTGCTCTGTAAATAGATTTAGTTTTTACCTGGTTAGCATACAATGTAATTAGTGAGAATACACTTGGTTCAGTAAAAAAAAAAACAAATAAATAAAATACAGATTTGAATGAAACTGGGATTTACATGGTTAGTATACTATGTATTTCTGTTCTGTAGTGTTAACCTTTTGTTGAAGTAACTTATAGTAATGAGCAAATTAAATCAGTGATAATACTTTCTGTTTAGTAAAAAACGACCAAGAAAAATATCAATTTGTTTTAGCTTTTAAATTAAATCATGTTTCTAAAAAAAACTTATTTAAAATTCAACTTCATCATATAACCTATAGATTAATTTTTGTGTTGTATTTAAGTTTGTACATAGTATACAACTTTTATTTTTATATAGTATAAAATTTTAATTAAATTCGGGTGAATTCGCAATGTATCTGTTCTGACCAGGATTGGTTAATAGGGTTCTACTGCATTCAGAAATTTCAGGAAGGGAGATCTCTCGTTAATATTTTACACTCATATATGAAATTCTCCCCAATAATATAAAACTATCTACACACTCTTAACTATTTATATAATTAATTATGAATTATTTATTGAAATATTTTAAATATGTGATTGATTTTATAATTACATAATCAATAAAACTTTTAATTTACTAAATTTTAAATTGAATAGAAAATAAAAACTATTTGGATACCTTGATATTTACAACTGATTAAGACTCACATATTTGGTTGCTGCAGGTATTTTAAGTAATAAATATTTTATTTTCAAATCCACTTGTTTCTTTTGAGAACAAGGTTCTCTTCTGGTGAGCCAACAGCAATGAACCAAGAATAAGGTTATATTCAAGTTCTCCATGTCATAGGTCCACTTAGTGTAGATACAGAAATAGGAACAATCCATAGGCAACAACAAATAAATTTCTATAATACCGTCATTAAAAAGGGCAATGAGTGAGCAACAAATTCCTTCGATGACCAAGAGTGTCCTACCTAGAGAGCGGAACACTTCTTGCTAATTGGTCAATAACTGACAGCTTTCTGGATTCAATAATATGGTAATAATAATTTCAATAATCTCCAAATTTCCTCCTGCATAATAGATCCACTTAATGCAGGAACAGTGTGAGATAAGGTTAATTAAGATGTTAAGAACCAGAGTGGACCAAGTTCAGCAGCTTTAATTTTGATAAAAACCCTTTGGAATATTTCAAAACATTATGTGAAACTGCTCGAGTCCAGTTTAAATACGAATCTTCATATTTCTTCCATTTTTGGTTTAATAAGAAACATATATAGAAAGATTTTATATATTTATTGGTATGTATGATATGCTTTGACACTTAAAACTCAATTTTCACAAAAATATGGGTTAATTCACTCTGGTTCTCACTTCTTCAATTCAATTCCTATTATCTCAAATTCATATCTACAATATTGCAATGGAAAGGGCAGTGAGCAACAAATTTATATCCAAATGAAAGGTAAAATAAGGTTTATCTCAACTAATGTGAACAATGGAAAACGAAAGTAATATAAGTTAATTGAAAAGTGATAGTAACTTCTTGTTTATCACTGGAAATCTTTATCTATACAAATTTATTACGTGACTGCCCAGGTTTCAAGAAATTTCTTGAAGGAAATTATGTTCTATATCTTACCTGAGCTTTTTTTTCTTCATTGCTTCTCATTGTAGAAGAGTCTATGATGGTGGGAGACAGTTTCAACGAAACACAAACTCTTAGTATAGTATTTTGATATTTTATCCCACAAATCTGAACTAATTTATTAATATTGTTTTCTCCGAATGTTTTCTTTCATGAATTTCATAGCTTGCCTAAACACATTGGTTAAACCATGTTGGAAACCAGAGTCTTTACATGATTAGGTCTGGAAAAAACTGATTTTTATTATTATTCAATAACCTTACTATGGTATTGGTCTGTATTGACAGCATGAATTATTTTTCTTTGAAACCATAGTCAGAACATGTCTGAATCATTTAGGTATATTTTCAGGTCTGTAATACTCTCTGAACAATAAAAATTTTTAGATTAGCTTACTCTATTAATAATATTCATTTTGACAAACATGCATATTGGAAACATTTAAGTTTTAAAAATAATTTTCTGCTGATTTACATCTTTGGTCAGTCTATCAATATTTCTAAAACAAATTAGGAATAGTAGTTACGCTTTTAAAAGATTTTTATACTCATTTTCCTAACTACTGATTTCACTGTTTTTGTTTCTGAAATTGAAGTTGTGCGTTTCCCCCATCTCAACATGCTTAATTTAGATTTATTATTTTTTATAACTAAAGTCTCATAACTTTATAAATTATATATTATAAAACCCTTCAAGTTATATTGCTGGACATTTTAATTTGTTTAAATAAAGTGAAATATTTTCCAAATGAGGTGAAGAATGTCAACAAATCGCTTATATGTCCTAATTTCTCATATTAAATGAACAGGAATACTTAGCTCTCATACTGTCCCTTACAGTGGCAGGTGATTAAAATTACTAATATACTATTTTGAAAAACAAAATTATTACATAGAATTTTTATTAATACAAAAATATATTTCTCTAAAATACTAATTTAATTGTTCTAACACTAAACATAGTTATTTATTGTTGATTCACTAAATTAAATATTCCAATACAATAATCAATAAAATATTTAACTAATAAAAATTAAATTTTGCTTGATCAGGAGCAATCAGATTTTTCATTTAATTATTATTTAGGACTATCCCAGCCAGATCTGGTGAAATTTCATAAACAAATTATAACTTTTTTCAAATTAGGCACGGTTGTTCCCAGAGGTATTTTGATGTACGTATCACAACTGTACAGTGGTAGAGGTTGAGTAAGGTCTTGGTTGAACATTTGTAAGATTTTCCTCCTCCCCCCCATTTTCTCAAATATCTGAGAACCTATTTACATTGGTTGAAAATTCTTGTTTGTACTAAATAAGTATTTTTTTGGGGGCTAAAAATATTTTTTTACAAAACTAAATCAGAAAAAACTTTCTATCAAGAAAGTCAGTCTCTGTATTTTAAAGAATTTTTGTAGTTTTTGTTAGATATTTGAGTAA